TGTCCATGGCCGAAATCAACGAAGACCTCGAGAGCGACGACGTGGACCTCAGCGGTGCTGCCGTGACCAGCCCTTCCAAGCGGCCGAAGGTCATTGATGGCGATGGCGATGGAGAGCTGGACATCATAGGTGTGGCTTCATCCAATGGCAACCTGCTGTGTAGAAATGGTGTTTCCCATTTTTGTTTCTGAAGTGGTTCAAAGGGTGTTTCCAAGCGTTTTTTTTGGTTGGCGGCGGTAGTGACGTGTTTGCACCTCCGAAAAGAATGGGATGATTGTTTGCTGCACATGATATACTGATATGTTGATGTGTGTGGGCTGGGTATGGGATGATTGGGGCACCATTTACCGTTTTTTTCAGGGGTCCAAGATCCAGCAAAAATCCAGTGGTTGGGGTGTTCTATTGGAATTGTTGATAACAAGTTGGCGTTGGTTCCAACATGTTCAAAACCATTTAAATTTACAAAACCAAGAATTTGAATGTTCAAATCCAAGTCGAGCCAAGTGAACGGTGTCCCCCCCGCAAGATCAAGGCAGTTCCTGGCGGTGCGAAATTTGCACGGTTTTTAAGGTTTCTGACACATTCTCACATGGCTTTACAGCTGACTACCTGGCATAGCTCGTTGCACTCAACTTTGACAAACTTTGATCAAGTAAACAGCTGCTGCTCCAGTGCACGTCCTTTCGATGTTGGCAGGTCCCAGCCAGAGATTGCGCCGATCCAATTTAAATCCCAACGTCGCAATTTTGCATTCGCTGACCCCAATTTCAATGGGCTAAATCAGGTTTTTGCCAGGTGAACTTCCATGTTTCCAGCATTTTGAGTGAATGCCTCGGTGTTTCACGGGGCCAAAATCCCCGAATTTTCGCTGCCAAGGCAAGAAAGCCAAGGAGGTGGTGGACCTCGCGGACGACGACAACGCCAGCCGTGCCGCTGCCATCCGCCGCGCCCGTCGCAGAGCCAAGGCCAAGGGGAAGCACCCGGGGATTCGACCGGCGCCGAAGGTGGCCACCGTGGCCAATGGGGATGAGGTGGAGGTCCTTGAGTCGCCCGGACTTTGCTGAGTCCTTTGGTTTCTTTTTTTTTTGGGGGGGGGTGTGATACACCAGAAATGTTGGGATTTTACTGACTGCTGAAGCGATTAACAACAACACTCACAACACTCTTTTTTCATAGGTTTTTATCCACCAAACATGTGGGGAATCGGTGTGGCGTTTTTTTCCTTCAAATAGACCTTGAGCAGATCCCAGGTAGATCTCAGGGACGCTCTCATGGGGCAGGAAGTCGCTGCTAGCCAGCTGACTCAGAATCTGAGTTGAAGTCCCTGAGTTTTTGTGGAAAGCCTGGGCCCCATCTTCGCGGCACTGTGCGGTGAATGCTTTTGCTGATCCAAACTGGACAGTTGAGCATACCTCCAGTTGCATAGCCGCATAGCTCTCTACATTGAGAATCCTAATGTCTGCTTTCACCCCCAAAAAAAGTCGGGAAGGATCTAGCGTGCACGCTGCCAAAATACCGTGACATGCCAAGGCTTGCAAACGAGCATGGGACATCGAAGTAGCATTGAACAAGCCCTTGTCCAACCACGTATGTTCATTCGGTGAACAAGCAGACATCTTAGATGAGGCAATCTATAAAGCATTTGTTGGATTTCAGGGTAATTTCCCTCCAAACAATGGACCTGGCAGAATCTGGTCCTTGGATGTCTTTGGTGCCTTGCTGACTCATTCTAGCCCAGCTACATCCTGGCCATTTCTTGGCTCAGCTTGGAGGGCCTGTGAAACAGGCAGAGGGCAACTTCCTTTCAGGTGCCCCTTTCGGGTACCAGGTTTTGCTTGGTCGGCACCATGATGGGCCGGGCACCTCAGACCTTGGCCGGCTGCCATGGCTGAATCACACAGCAGATCCGTGGTGGAGTGCATGGAGTGCCCATTCGTGGACTGATGAGGAATCATGTTGCATGATAAATACCCTGTGGTAATTTAACATAGTTATGGACAATCACCATTTTTAATGGGCAAATCCACTATAAATGGCAATTTTCAATAGCTATGTTAGTTTACCAGAGGGTATCAATGGTATTGATAGTCAACATAGGTGCCATGGTCCAAAAATGTGATTGTACACTGATATTGGGGGATGGTCATCAATCCATTTCTAGGGATGAAAGAAACCCAGTGTTTTTGATTTCGCATTACGGGATGGATGACCATAAGCAATGTCTTGACCCTACCTAATATATATATATATATGTAATCAAATTGTGCTTAAATATCATTACGGACCTGGCATAGGTGAACAGGCCCACGGTTTGTCCAAAGCTGTGGTTCCCAGGACAAAACTCAGCTTCTGAAGCGATGATGCAAAAACAGGATATAGCAATCCCCAGAACAGATAGAACAGTAGAATCCCACTAAAAGAGTGGCACATAACTTTTCGATCTCCTTGGGAGTTACTACATATTCCATATATTCATCCATATTCCAACAGGGGAATTTTTCAATAGGGAAAAAGCGGCCATCCTGCGCGGAAGGCCTTGATGCCGCTGCCTACCAGCAGCTGTACCAGGCGGCGATCTGGGGAAGGTCCTCATTTCTCATTTGTCATTTGTCATTTGTCATCCTTCATCTTCATATTCATCTTCATCTTCATCATCATCATCATCATCATCATCATCATGATCATGATCATGATCATGATCATGAGAAGCAGAATGACACCTTCCAAACTCGACCCGGTCTCCGGGTTGAAAACGAGGCGGCTGCGTACCAGCAAGTAGCTCAGGCTCGCAGTCCCGGTGACAGTTTTTGGGGCCATCATGTTTTGCTCATGGACCTATGACCTTCGCACATCCAGGAAGTGATGCTTCCACGGCTATATCCATTTGGATCCATGTGCAACATTGGTCAACATTTCCCTCACTAGACGAGCCGCGTTTTCTTTTAGCATCACCCTAAAAGCTGGTGATCGGTTCTCGCCGCTCGCCCGCAGGCAGGAAGGTTCAAAGTTTTCAGGCAACGAATCTGAACCCCAGCGCCATGGTGCTGCTCAGAGTTCTTGCCATCAGCTTTCTTCTGCCAGTGACTGCGGAGTCCAACAGCTACCAGAACTACATCTCGCAATATGCCGGAGATTACTTGAAGAAGTTTGGGTCCAAGAGCTCCGGGTATGATGACCTCATCCATTTGCTTTGGAGCTCGTGGAAGTTGGAATCTTTTGCACCTTCCTGGGCGAAACATCCGGCCCTTGTGTTTCAAGAGCCCCCCAAAAGCTCGATTCCAACTTTCACCGGGTAAGTTTTGGTAGACCAGGTCTTGAATCTTACTGAAGTGTGTATCCTAAACACCTGGCCGTCCAAAATGCCGATGCTTTATATATTACAAGCCCCTTGTTGGCTGATCTTGTTTGAAGTCTCCTTTGAACTTTGGGGTTCAACGGGGTTATTTGTCACCAAAGCCAATGGAGAGGCAGAGCTCAGGGACAAGGGTCGGGCGTCTGTCTATCCTCAGATTTAATGAGGTGATCCTCGAGGAGAAGGTTATGTCATGTGATGTCTAAGCCGTAAACCAAAAAATCCCAAGTGAACTTGGTTGAATGGTGGAGGCCAAGTGGGATGAGCAATGAAGTAACAAGATTGCTTCGCAACTTTGGGCGAAGATTATCCCTACCCCGTTGCACTCCCACCAGCTTCAGGCCAAGAATAGGATGAGAAAAAGAAATGCAGGAACCCCATGGAACCCCACTATATATATACATAATATATACATATATATATATGCTTATATATTTCAAAGAATTTTGATTTAACAAGCCCAATGTTTCAGTCTGTTTAAGCTGAATCACTCCAGTATAGGAATACATCCAGAAGTACACGGGCGTGGGCGATTCCAAAGCTTCAGAAGAGCCAGTGACCCTCATGGCCGCCACTGCTGATTCCAAGGACGGGGAAGGAAATTGAAGGAACCTGGTGACCTGATATTTCTGGAAAGGCTCAGTTATTGTCAACCCAAGTTATGGTCAGAGGATGCCAAGCCAATAATGCGCAGGGATCCATGTAACTCCCAGTTTGTAACTCCCAGTTTGTAACTCCCAGCTTTTCAATGTTTCTCGCTGATGGGCGATGGCCTTTCTATCAGCACAACCTGCACCACCAAAAGTGGAAAAGGTACTGTTGTGCATTTCCATTTCCTGCAGGACGCTGAAAATTCCGGTGACTACCAGAAATATACCACTCAGTATTCAAAGTACATGCAGGGCCAGGGCAAGGATGCACAGGGAGGTTCCCAGGGCGGTGACTACCAGAAGTACATGTCCGATTACGCCGGCAAGTACATGCAGGGCCAGGGCAAGGGTGCGCAGGGTGGTTCTCAGGGTGGTGAATACCAGAAGTACATGTCCGATTACGCTGGCAAGTACATGCAGGGCCAGGGCAAGGGTGCACAGGGTGGTTCCCAGGGTGGTGACTACCAGAAGTACATGTCCCAGTATGCCAACGACTTCCAGAAGTACATGCAGGGCCAGGGCAAGGGTGCGCAGGGTGGTTCCCAGGGTGGTGACTACCAGAAGTACATGTCCCAGTATGCCAACGACTTCCAGAAGTACATGCAGGGCCAGGGCAAGGGTGCACAGGGTGGTTCCCAGGGTGGTGACTACCAGAAGTACATGTCCCAGTATGCCAACGACTTCCAGAAGTACATGCAGGGCCAGGGCAAGGGTGCACAGGGTGGTTCCCAGGGTGGTGACTACCAGAAGTACATGTCCCAGTATGCAAACGACTTCCAGAAGTACATGCAGGGCCAGGGCAAGGGTGCGCAGGGTGGTTCTCAGGGTGGTGACTACCAGAAGTACATGTCCGATTACGCCGGCAAGTACATGCAGGGCCAGGGCAAGGGTGCGCAGGGTGGTTCTCAGGGTGGTGACTACCAGAAGTACATGTCCCAGTATGCCAACGACTTCCAGAAGTACATGCAGGGCCAGGGCAAGGGTGCACAGGGTGGTTCCCAGGGTGGTGACTACCAGAAGTACATGTCCCAGTATGCCAACGACTTCCAGAAGTACATGCAGGGCCAGGGCAAGGGTGCACAGGGTGGTTCCCAGGGTGGTGACTACCAGAAGTACATGTCCCAGTATGCAAACGACTTCCAGAAGTACATGCAGGGCCAGGGCAAGGGTGCGCAGGGTGGTTCTCAGGGTGGTGACTACCAGAAGTACATGTCCGATTACGCCGGCAAGTACATGCAGGGCCAGGGCAAGGGTGCGCAGGGTGGTTCTCAGGGTGGTGACTACCAGAAGTACATGTCCCAGTATGCCAACGACTTCCAGAAGTACATGCAGGGCCAGGGCAAGGGTGCACAGGGTGGTTCCCAGGGGGGTGACTACCAGAAGTACATGTCCCAGTATGCAAACGACTTCCAGAAGTACATGCAGGGCCAGGGCAAGGGTGCGCAGGGTGGTTCTCAGGGTGGTGACTACCAGAAGTACATGTCCGATTACGCCGGCAAGTACATGCAGGGCCAGGGCAAGGGTGCGCAGGGTGGTTCTCAGGGTGGTGACTACCAGAAGTACATGTCGGATTACGCGGGGAAGTACATGAAGGGCCAGAGCAAGAGTGCCGAGAACGAGGAAGATTCGACTAAAGGTCACGAAAAGAAGACGAAGAAGGAGGCAAAGAGTTCCAAGGAGTCTGATGACGAGAAGGTTGAGCTGGAAGGATGAGTTTGAGGGAACTTTTTGATGGGACAAGCAGCCTATGTCTATATACATCCCATGATCGCATGGCACATGTACACACATGTAAATAGATTTAACAAATAAATAGACAAAATAATTTTGAATGATATATATGTATATATACAATATCCAAACATACGCACAGGTGTGTTTATTTATATATACACACACAGACATATATATATATGCCTCTACATATGTATAAACAATTTGAATGAACATACCCCTTGATAATACATACATACGCAGGTGCTTAAACCTACCCGTCATTTGAACAATGACGCATCAACCGCAGGAAGTGCCACGGCCGAAAACCTCTTGGAGGAGGAAGACCAGACTCCTTCAACCCTACTGCGGCCCATCTTCCATATTTTTTTCCTGGCAATTTGTTGGGGATACTGCACAACTCTGAGATTTTGCGATGCCATATTTTCAGAAAATTTTGGCATTCAAATGATTCAAATGCCACAAATAGTGGCTTTAAGTAGCAGCAATCGAACCATGATGGATTGAAGCCTGAACCATGTCAATTACTCGAATCAATCGATATGATGATGTCACAATGCTTCACCATATTTCACCAATCGAAATTCTGATTCAGCTTAATCATCAAGAACGATTATTTATTTGTGGCCCTAACCAACCACCACATTTCTACTGGATAGGGGCCCATAATTGCAGGGTGCAAGTTTCTTTTGGTAAAATGGCCCACTTAGAGATAATTTACCATGAAGAAACGGCAGTTTTCCGTAGGTATGTTAAATTTCCATTGGGCAACACAATTCCCCTCAATGTGTATGATACTAACTATGCATATATATAATTATATATATATACACACGCCACGCACACACGCACACACACACATATATATACACACACTAAATACACATATATGCAGATATATACATATATACATATATATATATATACAGATACATACAGATAAACGCGTTATATATATATATATACATATATATATATGTATATATATATATATGTATATATATATATATATATCTAAATGCGTACATACATACGGATATATATATATATACATATCATTACGTATATAGATATATAAATATACATATGTACATATACATACACACGCACACACACATATATATATACATCCAGATATATACAGATATATACAGTTGCAAGTTTTTACGCACATACACACACACATATATATATATATATATATGCACATATATATATACACATATACACACACATATATATTATATACACATATACACACATATACACATATAATATACACATATATACACATATTGTAAATGGTAGAGAACTCTCTGTTGGAACTGCAGTGGTCTGATCAGGCTTTGAATGTAGGAGACTGTATGAAACCCTGTCCAATGAATGTCCCCTTCACCCAGCCAAATGGGAGCGCACTGTCTATGTTTTCTGCCCTGCCGCAACACTGAAATCTCTGCACCAAAGTCGAAGGACGACCGCGTCCAAAACCTATGCAGCACCCTGTGCTGTCAAGTGCACCGAAGCTAAGGCTCTAAGGTGGACAAATCCCACCCTCCCGCTGCCAGGCAATCCGAGCCTTGACACCTGCGGTTGAACATCAAGTGGTTATTGCTGGACCTGGAGATAGCCCAAGGGATTGTATGGTACTTGCACAAATGGAAATCACACTCCCAAAAAAATGTTTTTTCTTTTGTTTTGGAAAAACACTCAAGCAAGTGAAAGATTTATGCAGGTATGTGATCGCTCTGGCTATTTCCATTTTGGGCTTTCAACCATTTGAGTCTATCTTTTGACCTGGCTCTTTCCTTGAGGGTGGCATCTTCGTCACTGAGGCGGTAAAACCCATATTTCAAGGTTTCCCTCAGAAAGTGGGATTCCATGGACTTCGTCAAGCTGTCTGCTAACTGAGCTCCACTTGGTACCCATCGCAGCATTGTGCCCTCCTTGAGTGATTCCTTTATTGATCTAGCCATTAGTTGAACCCTGAACTCAGAACAACTAGGAGGGGCTGTCCGGGTTATCAAGTCATAAAGGCTTTTGCAATCGGTGATTGCAACATCATTTTCAGGAATCAAGGTAGGGACCGTAATCGCTGGTTCGAGTTTTGGAAGAGTCTCTTCTGGCTTTTTCCAGTTCACCCGAGGGTCATGGATCCAGCTCCAAAACAAGCGAAGCCACGAAAGCTGCTCAAGGGTTGTGGCTAGTGCCATTGTTTCTGCTGACAACGTGCTTGTCACCACCTTCTGAATTTTGCGACAACCCCATGTGAGCGGACTGATAGGACACTCAAGTCCTCGGCTGATGTCTTGGTGAGTTCCTACTATGATGGAGCCAGCGTGGGAATCAGGTTTCTTGACTGATGAGAATGAAGCATCTGAAAACGCCATAAGTTGAAATTGTTGTACTGGAATGGATTTGATGGTTATGGTAACATCGTGGTTGCGCTTGGCTTCGTGAAGAACTCGGTTGGCTTCCATCAAGGTTTCCACTTTAGCTGTGTTGATTGCTGATTGGAGAAATGAAAGTTTACTTGAAAGGTCAGGTCTAGTGTTGATTGCTGCGTATTGTAAACTCCCGATGAGCCCTCGCAGGGACAGCCTCTCGGATTCGTTGACGGGTAATTCAGGCTGGGATTTTCGGTTGGATTCTATGGTGATTGAGGGGATCTTCCTGACATATGATGATTGACTCGAGGATATGTTGTAATTGGTATGTTGGGTGACTTCGATTCCAGTGAAAGTGAAAGCTGAAATTTTGTGAGAACCAAAGGCAAACTTTTGTTCTAGTTGGTGGATCTTTTCTTCGAAGTAAGAACTTCCTCCTCCAATCCCATCGTCTACATGTATCCCCAGGATCCCTTCTAGTTTACCTGGTTGGTCACCTTGGGGTGGTGATCGTAGCACGAAACAGCAGGGATCGAACGGCGAAGTCTCAAATCCAAGTCGCGTGAGTTCTGTCACCAAGGCACAGTACCACAAGTATGGCGCATCTATGAGTCCATATGCTCCTTTGTTCAGTTTGCAGATCTCTTGTGGTTTCAGTTGGAGTGCACGTCTCAACTCTGGAACAGGGTCTACTGCTATTATCCTATCGGCTTGGGGCTTACCCTGAAGAAAAGCTGCTTTTATGTCGAAGGATCGTAGTTTCCATGCATGAGATGAGATTACTTGAAGAGCTATCATGCGTGATGTTTTATTAAGGGTCGGGCTATCACGTGGGATTTCTTCTATGCGGGGATCAAGGTATCCCAGAACCACTAGTCTTGCCTTGGCTTTGTGACTCTTCTGGTGGTTATTGGATTCTTCATTTTCCCCTACATTGTCAATTGGTTTCCAAGTAAGTATCCATCGGCACCTAAGAATCTGTTCTTCTGGGATTTGATCTCTTAGAATCGCGCTGATGGTACTTGTTTTGATCCAATTTTGAATCTCACTGTCTTTGGCCTTTTCGAACTCTTTGATCTCTTCTGGGCTCAACGTTGACAATTTTACTTCTGTTTGTTTCTTGGAGGAGGTTGCCAACATAATCCAACTCTTCTCTTCATCATTTTGGTCTTGACTTAGTGAGGCATGTCTTGGGATTTCGAACTCACATCTCCATGCTAGGGATTCTTCAGCATGACACGTCAGTGCATGGTCTACTTCCTGGCACGCAAGTTGGATCACTTCGGTCGTTGCAAGTATTGGATCATCATTGGTCATTTCTGCATTGGGAACGGCGTGTTCAGTTTGAGAACCTTCGGATGTAAAATCTTCTGGCTCTGGCTGTAGAGATCCATCTATGCTTTCGGAATTTTCTGAGTTATTGGGGTTCAGGTTATTGGGATTTGGGACTATTGGATTGGGTGTCTCCTCTTGACGGTTACTTTCTAGTGGAATTTCTGTGGAAGTGTCTTGAACTTCTGTGGTCTGTTGCATTCGATGAATCTGTTGGGTCAGTGGTGTGATGTCTTCAGGTAACTCAGGGCCTTCTGGATGACCCTCTTCCGGGCATGCTTTGCGGGTATTTTCAGGGGCACTTCTATGGAGGTTCCCATTTGCCGTGCACCATACCGTGTGGTTATCATCTTGGAGGACTACCCGAAAAGGACCCTGCCATCTAGCTTGTTTTAGGGGATTTGATTTCCATATCATAACCCAATCACCCTTTGCAAACTGACCTCGGGACGGGCATGCCCTGCGCAGTGCAGCACGTCTCAACACTTCATTGTTGTCGGCTGAGTGGAAAGCTCGCCGAGCGGCTTCTCGCAAGGCTAGCATTTTTCGAAAGTCTTGGCTTGCTAAGGATTGGTTTTCATCCGTTGCATGTTCATGGGCTGGTATGGATTCGTCACTGAGCACTGAACCGGGGATTCTTGAGTGCTTACCAAAAACTATTACCTCAGGAGCATATCCATGGCGGATGCTTAAGGAATTCTTGGCATGGGTGCATTGGTTCAGGGCACTCTGGAGAGATGCATAGTCATTGATTGGATGTTCAAAATCAACTTTCTCCAACATGCATTGCAAGAAGCCTCCATGACGCTCAATGCGTCCGCTTTGCCAGTGGGCATCTGGCACCGTGGTCGTGCTTCGGATGTTGAAGCGCTGCAGGAACGTCGCAAATTCTGAGCTATTCATCTCAGTCCCAGAGTCCACCGTGATCTCAGATGGTGGTCCAGCCCAGCTGATCCAGTGTTGATTGATCAGGTTGATGAGATCTTCTGATGTTTTGGAGGGTGCAACAATCGCAACATGGTAGTTGGTTCCTGCATCCAAGAGGTGGTAAAAGTGAAAGGTTTTGTTCATTTTGTTGATCCATGTGATTCCATCAAGGTATATTTTGTGGTTGAAATCCATCATGGTTTTCAGGGATGCTGGTCTGGCATGTTTTGGGGGAGCCGTGGCTGCACATGTCGCACATCGAATTTCCAAAGCTGCCTGAACCATTTCTGGTCTCGCTCCACTTACCTGGAGTGCTCTTGACAAGCGATCATTAGATGGGTGGCCAAGGTTCTTATGCATGCGGATGATGGCTTGTTGTTCCCACTTTGGCAAACCCAAAAATCGTGGTCCATGTTGGGTGCTTTCGCACTCCGGTAGTGGCCTCGAGGCCGCAGAGTAGGGGGTATTGGATCCTTCCTCCGCTCTGGCTTCTGGGTAACTTGAAGGCATCGATTTGGCGTGCATCTTGGGAACATTCTCCACTGGCTCCATATTCGGTGGTTTGGTCACTGGCACAGGAATTACATTGCTTGGAGAAAGGCCCTCTTCGGAGCCTGGTTTCTCACTGCAGGCAGGTGGCTCATGCAAGTGACTCTCGAATGGGTCTATATTGGGCGCCGGATGCATCTCAGCTTTTGCAGGATCTGGTGTTGCTTCTTCCTGACATCCCTGATCTAACTTACTTTGAGGCTTCGGGATCTCCGTAGATTTGGGGTCAACTGCAAACACCGTGATGTTGATTCGACAGGAATGAGATGGTCTTATTAACTGTCGTTTAGATAACTCTATCCATCCCTCCCAGTGAGCTTCAAAACGAACTTCTCCAGTCCTACTCAGCATGAGCATCTTTCGGAATGGTGCTTCCTGAGGATGCATTCCGGGAGGTGGTGCCATTGTTCTGTCAGTACCCCTGCATGCCATCACTCGGTGGATTCGTTTGTCAGGAAATACATTCTTCAACATGTTCAACACAGCTTGGTCGGTGATCTCTGTTTTTCCTACTCTGGGCAGGTGGTTCCCTACTGCTTGAATGGCTTCCTGACACATCTCCAGAGTTGGCAACAAGGTTTGGTTGGGATCCGTTTTGGATCTCTTGGCACCTTCTTTTGATCGGGCAAGCGGAGACAACACTTCCGATTTTGGAAAACTTGGAGGTTTCCGGACTTTCGTCACTGCCAGGCTCGGCTCATCCGTTGGAACTCCGACATTGGCGGTTGCAAAGCAAAGCATTCCTGGTTGCCAGTTATATGGCCAGCATTGGTTACCTTTGCCTAACACCTGAGCAACAGTTCTTGCAAACCGCCGTGGGTAGATCTCGGTATATTGGGTCCTCAGCATGCTTTGTCCGTTCTTGACACGGCATGAACCTTCGATAGCCTGGTGGTCATGGCGATGGTCACAACACATTCCATGAAGTTGTTGGAAAAGAGGCGCAAACGTGGTTAACAGGGTCATTCCCTTTTGCATGAACATTCCGTTCTCTGGGTCCTTGAGATGTCCAACCCGACACATATCGAATTGGCAGGCTTGAGTATGTTCATGGACTTCCGCAAGGAGGGGTGTCTGAAACATCAATGACCGCTTTGGTTGTTCCCAGTGGAAATGCTTACTAAGTGACACTTGATGTCGGTATAGGACAATTCCCAGGGCTAATTGATACAGCAAGTCATGTCGTTTCTTCTCATACTCATCATGGTGTTGCATGGACCTAGAGGCATTCAACTGTGACCATGCTGACCAGGGTCCACAGGTGGGACTGTACCAGACATGAGTTGGTCGGTGTCTGGCCATCAACCGGAACAATTCCTTCCTGCCGGATGCTTGGGCTAAATCTCCCTGCATGTATCCGAACCGGAAAGCTGACTTGCCAAGCTGAAGCATTTGATGGGTCAACGGTGAGTTACTACTGCACATTACTTCACCAAGTTCATAGGGTTTTCCCATGGGTGTTGTTTGGTAGATGATCTCTTGAAGTTCTTGATTGAATTGTTGAATGAGATGTTTCATGTGTTTTGCTTCATGGTGCATAGCTGTCAGCACTGATTCATCCCAGTCCTCTCTCACTTGTCCTGGTCCTCGGCATTGATCTGGTCCGGGTTGGTCTGCTGCTCCAAATGCTGGATGACTCTGGTCAATGCGTTCTCCATGTTCAACATTCGAGCTTGCATTGCCATCCAGTCCTCGGAGGCTGGAAGAGCTCGATGATCCATAATTGCTGGCTCGTACATCTCGGAAGGAATGTCCCAGTCGCTCTCTCCCAGCGAAGAGATGAGAGAAGGAGCAGCGTGGGACTTGGCTGTGGCCTTGGCTTTGGCTTGAGGACGGTTGAGGCCTCCCACTTGGCTGCCTCGGGGAATCACCCCTTGGTTCTGTTCCAGAGCCTCGACCTTCAACTCGACGTACTTCATGAATCGCCTGTGGGACTCCTTCTGACTTTTCTGATAGCGATTGATCATGAACTGGATCCACTCCTGATCCTGCCAGGTGTCCTCGAAGGTGCGGCCATTGAACTTCTGTCCGAACGTCACCACCTCTGATGACAGTTCCTCCAGAGTGAGGTGGTCTACTGCCACCGGTTCCACAACTGACTGCACCTGCAACTGGCGTAGTCTTTGCGACAACGACATGACTGGACGGCGGGACTGATGGTTCGGAAGGCTTTGCAAAAGGTCTTGCCTGGTCAGTGGCTGTCGGTCGATCGATTTCCTGAGACGCTTGAATATCACTGATTTCCCCACTTGCGTGAACATGACTCTTCACCTGACCTGCCTCATCATGACTGTTGATCTTTACTGCATGGGTGTGGTCTGCTGGCAGCGGTTCTTGGAGATCATTCCTTTTGGCGGTCTCTTCGGACATGAAAGTCTCGGCACAACCCTCAGTTCTGACTCTTCGGTCAGTGTGAGTATTATCCATGGTGGCCCTGATTAACTCATTGATATCCAACAAAAACAACCTTTTGGCAGTTAATTGAAGTGAAATCGGCTTTGACATCTGGGCACTGGACAATGTTTGGGTTGCGCAGTCAATCGTGGCACGCAACGTCCGCATCAACGTGTTGCTAATTAAGAATGGTGTTCCACCTGGGACTACAGCCACCTTTAATCTGAGTGAACCAATGGGCACGACCAAGGCTTCAGAACTTGTCAAAGTGGACTGGTTACCAAACTTAAACACAATGTTACATGGACATCGGGATAGCTGTCGGCGGATGTCGGGGTCCAGGCTGCGAATTAGCTCACCTAAGTGCTGGCTACCAATCACTGTCTTCGATGCACCTAGGTCCAGGATTCCATGTGAACCATGCGACGCGAAACAAGCGGTGGCACTTTCTGGTTGTTCTGACATGACAATGGTCGGTTTCGTCTTTGATGGAACCCTCGGCACGGAGTGGACATCAGGTTGATGTCTCGGAAATCTGGCATGGTGGAGAGACTTGTTCCCTCTCAGAACGCAAAAGCTTCTATTCAGTGTGCAGGCAACATTGGCATTCGGTCGGGGCTCATGGCTTCACTCCTGAGGCCCCATGATTGCAAACGGGCTTTTGCAGTCGGCTTGGTAATACTATGGATCCCCTTATCCCCATGATATTCCCCTTGAATCATCTTAGGAAAAATAGTTCCCTTACCAAACCTGGAGTCACAAAAACTTACCAAAACTGGCACAGTGTCATCTATGGACTCTTCACCTACAGTCGGGAGATGCAAAAACTCCATGGGCATGATGTCTTCCGATCCTTCCACTGAAACTGTGGTCGTTGGCTGGCTTCCGGCTGACGTGGACGTACCTGATGGTGTCCCTGACATTGACGATCCGGATGATCTGAAAGGACTCTCAGCTTTCCAATGACCCTTTCGGTTACAGTTTCTGCAGTATGAGTTCAAGATTCGATCCTGAAGGCTTCTACGGGGCTTCTGGTTCCAGCTACTTTTCCCTTTTCCACCACCTTTGGCAAAAGAGCCCTTGCCTTTGGGCTGTGATGGGTTGGGACGGCTTGTATTCCAAAACCCTCGATTCTTGAACTTCTCTGTCAATCTACGACGAGCCTCAGTGTAAGTACTGTAAGCTGCGGCCAGATCACTGTCTTCCTGCAACAGTTCATTGGCTGCGGCCTCAAAATCTGAGACCAAAGCTGCATCTGTGTCGCCCTCACTCAAGAGAGCTTCGATGAACTCTTCCTCGCATTGATCTTCCTGAGCATGGTATACTTGGTCTTCATCATCATCGTGTTCTGTCACCAGAGTTGCTGAGCTGTATACCTTTTGTTTGCTGGTCGATTTCTGGCCAGTCATCTCCTGAAAGAACGTGGCACCTAAGATTCGAATTGCCTCTGACACCCGGCCTACTGTCAACTTCCCTTCAAGGCTGTTGTCAGACTCCAAAATGACCTTCTTCTTTTCCTCCGGAGTTAACGTTGAACCCCGCAGCATCACAAAAGCCTGAAGGTCCTGTATGGAAATCTTCTGCGCCAGGAATTTGCTCCAAGCAATGTCAGCTCGGGCCAGAAAACTGTCGTTCGATTCGTCCCGCATCTGAACTGTATGATAAAGGGCCTGTTCAGCCTCTTCATACTGTCGTTCCAGGCCTATGCGGCCCCAATGGCCCCCAAGCAATTCAATCACCTTTCTCACGCTCTTCTCATCGTTCTCCATGAGCTCGGCCTGGTGCAACTGGAGTTTGGAGAACGCACTGCCCTGGCAATTGAGGATGAGCCTCATCACCAGCTCTGTGATTTTCGTCTTCGGCCATGCTGCGAGCAATAGTTCAACTTTCTGTTTGTAGATTTGCAGACTGTCTTTCGATGGGTCAAACGTCGGGACCAAAGTAGTAAGCTGTGTACTAACTCCGGTGTCGGTCCGTCCGCCTTCACCATCTGATGTGGAAGCCATCACGTTGTTTCCCTGGATCCTTCTTCGGCTTGGAAAACAGGCTGTTGTTAGTAGTCAGAGCCGGAGCTCCGCTACCAATGTAAATGGTAGAGAACTCTCTGTTGGAACTGCAGTGGTCTGATCAGGCTTTGAATGTAGGAAACTGTATGAAACCCTGTCCAATGAATGTCCCCTTCACCCAGCCAAATGGGAGCGCACTGTCTATGTTTTCTGCCCTGCCGCAACACTGAAATCTCTGCACCAAAGTCGAAGGACGGCCGCGTCCAAAACCTATGCAGCACCCTGTGCTGTCAAGTGCACCGAAGCTAAGGCTCTAAGGTGGACAAATCCCACCCTCCCGCTGCCAGGCAATCCGAGCCTTGACACCTGCGGTTGAACATCAAGTGGTTATTGCTGGACCTGGAGATAGCCCAAGGGATTGTATGGTACTTGCACAAATGGAAATCACAACATATGTACACAAATATACAAATATGTACATATATATATACATATATGTATATACAGATATATGAGCATATATCATATATACACATATATGCGCACATACTGTATACACACACACACATATAGATATATATATATATATACATACGCATATCTGCACATATCTAAACAGATCTACACATGTATATATATATATATATACACATATGTACACATACACACACACAGACATATACACACACAGACATATACACACACACACATATGCACATATGTACACATATATGCGCACACACACACATATATATATATACATATGCAATATACACATATATACCACATCATCATCATCACCACCACCACCATCATCATCATCATCATCATGAAGAAACATGTTCCCCTCAACCCGATTGATTCCTCCGAACTTCCCTAGATCCGAGGTATGCCCCGCTCCTGCTGCTGGCCGTTGGCGGTGCCTTCTCCATCTATGTGGAATCGCAGCGCCGCCGCTCCGCCACCGTTCAAGCCGTGCCGGAGGGATACCTGCAGCTGGAACCCATGAGCGACATGGCCTAGGCCCTCACGGCATGTGACCATCTGACCTGTTTTTTTTGGAAGATGGATGGCTTAGATTTGGTGGTTTCAAAGCATGTTTCTAATTTTCATAGCTTGATGATGCCACTTGACTCATTTGACGGCTTGAAACCACCATTCGTATAGGGAAATCCCTCTGCTGGCCCGAACGCACGCCATGATCTCTGAGCGGAGCTCGAAACTTCGGCATTTTTGCGCAACACGCTTTTGGTCTGCCGCTTTGGCCGGTGCTTGGCCGGCGCTTCTTTTGTTAAGCCGGCGGGGTGGCGGAGTGCCCGAGCAGTGGAGGATACATCGGACATGTTTTTTTTCCCAAAGGGGTGAATTTTGATGCGCCAGTGGAGCACTCCAAAACCCGTGGATGTTGACCATGTTGACCATTTCGGGTCAAAGGGAACTCTTGAATGTACCGAGCTAGTCGGCACAGCAGTGGGAAATAGTTACAATGTTTTTTGCATAAAACCGGTGGAGATCTATTATTGACATTTTGGCGACCATTATGTTTGGGATAGGTGCGCATCATTTGCATGGCATATTTCATACGCCAACTTGTTTCAGGTTTGAACATTCAAGGGTACCTTGATAGCAGCCGATAGCAGGCGCTGTCATTTTACGTGATGGCCAAAACGCGCAGCGATGCGGCGTGGCTTCGCGATGTTTTGACAGGCTTCGGGAGACAAATCATTCAGCAATCAGAGCCAAGTGCAAAACATTTTATGGCTCTTTTGCCCTTCATTTATTTTCAATCTGTTGACATCTGAAAGAAAACGGGTTTCATTGAATAACTTTGATATTATTTAAGGAGGCGCAACCACAGACCAGAGAAAAAAAACAGTTGAAAGATCACCTTAGAAGGTCCGCAGCTTTCATATTCGACACTGAATTTAGAGAAACTCCCGAACCCTTTGCTCTTGAGTGGTGCATCCTCTTATCCCGTGAAGTGCGGGATATTGCCACCGACGCAACGGCGTTTGTGGGACGAAATCCAGTGCAACCATAGGGGGAAGGGCTGCCAACCATAGCTTCCAAGAGAGACAGTGAAATCGTGAATTCTAAGGGTGTGATGTGTGATTTTAATATATTTCAACAGCTGTATGGTCAACATGTATCATGGGGGTTACTTTTGGAACTCCCACTTGAAACAGGTATGCTCGTTACACGCGTTCGTTCAACTGAAACATGTGATACTATTCAACCCCCAACCATCCCAGGCAATGATCATAGTGCATCTGGTTACTGATGCATGTGCCAGTCAAAAGATAGAACTCTTGAGCTGAACAAGTCGCCTACAGATGCTATGAAGGATGGGCTTTGTACAAACCACAAACGACAGCATCAGGCAGGAAGAAAAATGGTGCTGGCTAGCGCAATTTGATCATCGGCTTCAGGATCATCGATTTTGGTTCAATAAAAAGTTCTGACAAGTAGCCACTCTTCTGAAAATCAATGAGTCGAACTTAATTACTCTACTGTCCCAGAATTAGTCCAGGGGAACAGTTTGAACCGGCTTTCACCCCTATATTTGGAGCTAACAATGCATTGATCCCATGGGGTTTCCTGTCAAATTCCCTTTCAGCCAACTCATTTTCGAAGTATCAATCCATCTGTAGCCGTCACAATTTCCAGAATTGCCACGGCCAGGCCTACGCCGGCATGGCGGGAGCCGCTGCTCCGGCGGCCCAAGCCGCCCAAGCGGCCCAAGCTGTGCAAGCGCAACAGGTTTTTTCGGAACATGGGGACATGGGTGGATCCCTATCCAAAAATGATAGTTAGCAAGTGATTCCCCTTACTAGCCTTACTAACTATCAGTTTTTTGGGACTGGAAAACTGAGGAAACTGATAGTTAGTCCATCATCCCTAAGATAACGTATGATGACAGCTATTTTCAGGTGATTTTCTTCGATTTCAGCCAGGTAATTTTAAATGGATGATAATGGAGATATAGTTGTATATATATATATATACATACATATAATGTATATTTTAAAGCTAGGTAACTAGCATATATAGCAACCCTAAGTCATAGATAGAAGAGTTGGACACCTGGAAATACTACCATCGAACTACCCTGCCTTCCTGGGTTTCCAGTTTTCGGCATTTTTCCGCTTACTAGAGGGATAGAAACGGGGATTTAATTGGATAAGCAATCGGATATGGAGATATATCTACCACATTATTTTGGGGTTTGTCTGAGAATGGGGGTGCCCTGGACTACAGCAATGTTAACAGTGAAAAATATCGATCAGCCAATTGATGGGTTGTGTTTTCCCAAATTTTCCGACAGATCCAGTAACGGAACAGCACCATTTTTCAAAGCGAAAAATTGTTGGATACGAGAGCGGTTTGGAGCTATTTGGGTATCCATATTCAGACAGATCATTCATCTACTAGCGGGTCATTTTCCATAGCTATAGCAGCTATGTTAAATGATGGCAGGGTATTTATTCATTTGTCTTAGTTGCTCAGTTTTCGGACGCAAACACACACACACACGAACATGGACAAATATATGCACATACATACATACATACATACATACATACCTACGTACATACATACATACATACATACATACATACACAGACATACATGCATGCACATTTACATATATACACATTTATTTATATATGAGTATATGTGTAGGTTACACATCGGTTCATGTATTATTGGATTCTTGAATAACTATCTAGTTATCTATTGTTATAATCTATTTACCTATTATTTGATTTGAGATTGTGATATTATATCATAAGTCGCAGGCAGGTTCCTCTCTCTCTCTCTCTCCCTACCCCCACAGACAAGTGAAGTATACCGTGGTCTCAAGGCTTCGAGATGGATGATGATTGGTGGCTGTTTTTTTGGCGGGATTATTTTTCTAGGATCTTCCTGAGATGGGTGGGATGAGTAAACACTCCCATCAAGCTAGTTGAGGAATTCTACCAGTAACCTGCATAGGTTGACTTAGAAAAGTTCTCAGGAACTTGGCTGAGAACTAAGATAAAAAGCCTCGACATTTTTTTTGTGAACCAAACCGATGAACAGTTGAGACTTGGCGATGCCACCTCACCCGCTTCGTTGAACCATCACCATCATCATTCCAAGCTTTGCACAGGCCCTGCCCCAACCTCAAGCAGATACCGCGGAATGCGTGGGGCAACTGGTGCTAAACTTAGAGATTTCCGCAGAAACCTCGAACATGAACATCTCCAAATATTGACCAATTGCTGTTTGGCATCACCTTTGGAATGTGAAAAACAGGGTTGTGGCGGGGCGAAACGATGATAAACCAATAGCCATAGCACTTGCTGTTTGACATTCATTCCACCTTGGCACCTGCTTGGCACCTGCACAGTGTGTGTTTTGAAATCCAGGGTCTGGAGAGCAGATACACTGAACTCCTGGGTTCCTTTTGTTCATCACAACCAGATTGTCGGAACCAACTCCAATGGCTCTGTGCCCTGCACAGCTTGAGGCCCACATCTCTGTAGCTGGTTGCTCTCATGCCACTGTGGGCGGCACCCCTGATGCAGATGGGTGGGATCGCCGCCAGGGACTGGCAGCCTTGAAGCTCCATGGAGACTTAGTGACTTAGTGGACTTGTGTTCCTGGACCAAGCCCTTGGTGATGCCTGTCCAAGCCACGCTCGAACCCCAGGGACCACGGATAGTTCGGAGTCGCAGACCAGTTGTGGCCTCTTTGAAACGAAGGTGAGCACCGCAGGACACCACAGCAACAAAAAACCCGAACAACAGAAGTTTATCATGATTGGAGCATAATTTGAACATTGTTTCACCCCCACAATTATATTCCTTCAGCCAATTCTTGAACATGGTTTCGTTGATCTTTGAAGTTTAATCCTCTAAAAAGAAATATGTGGACAGTATTGGACAGTTGAGATAGTTAAGTCCCCCAGAAAAGATATCCAGAAAATTCTTTCAAGCCATCCCCGCCATGTGGCGCCGCGCCCTGGTGCCGCTCCTATCGCGCCGCGCCCGCGGCGCCTTTGGCGCTTTGGGCCCCACGACGGCGGCCGCGGTGGTGCCGAGTCGGCCCGGACTCATCGAGTTGATCAAGAGCAGCTGGTGACAAAGGTGGAGGGTAGGACAAATTGAAGGGAAGGTGCCATTTCGAACGGCTTATGACTTGATTGTCCCGGCACCGTCGATGCTAAAAATCTGAATGTCTGATGGTAATCATGAATCGTACAGTGCTAAGTGAGGTTTAGCGACAACTGGGTTCACTTCATTTCTGGTTGAACATCAACATTTGACGGTGCTTTAAAGGTAGAATATGCCGCTGCATGTTGTAACCATGTTGTGTCCCAGCTCAGGCAACCGAGAGGCTGACGCGGAAGCTGTCCTACGTGAGATTGAAGACGTGCCATGGATCAACATGGCACCTGAACAATGGGTCTGAACATGGGCTACGCGGCTACCCCATTCCATCCACTGGTTAATCATAATATAATCATCATATTCCCTGTTCCAATGGCTATTTCTATTTGATGGAAGGCGACATTCCAACTTCAGACGCACCCAAGGCCTTGGAAGACAATCCCAGAAATGCCCGGTAATCCAAGGGACCCCTTAAATGTATATAGATTGTTGTAGATTTAATACGATACCAAAGCTTCTTGGGGGAAACCAACAACTAGCTGATGTTCATAGCCACACGCTCTTTACACCTCCAAGACCCATGCCATATGAAGGCATTCCCGAAGATTGGCTGCAATACCACTCCGGTTCGCAGCAGTATTCATGCCATACATTCTATCTATATATACTTATTACATTTCTAGCGGAGCTATAGTTGTTGGGTTTCAACAAAGCGTTTTTTTGGCTCATCCCGTTTTGTATGAGTTCAATCCCACCGGGCCACTACCCATGTTTTTTTGAACCTTTCCATGGGTTCAAATCACATTTCATTTGGCAACACTCCCTCTTCCTGCAGCTAAAATCCCTCATATCCATCATAATCAGGTTCAATCCGCAGTTGTTGGCTTCCTCCCCCCTTCCCCAAGCCTTCCCCAAGCCTTCCCCAAGCCTTCCCTTCCTCTTCCGTTGAGGTGAACGACCTGGACCAGTTCGGTTCCACCCCACTGATCCTGGCGGCGCAGCGCGACTGGGCGCAGGTGGTCAAGGAACTGCTGCAGCGCGACGTGGATCCGAACCATCAGAACCTCTTCGGCTCCACAGCCCTGCGCCCTGGTGGCAGTGCAGGCTGGATGACTGGTTCGGTTGGACGTTTGCCAAGCGTTGTTACCATCATCCCATGGCGGATGTGCTGGTTGCAAGCTGGGGGAGAGTTGAAAAGATGCCCAACCTGCTCAACCTTCAAGTATCCCCTGTGACATCCTGTGATATCCTATTAAATCCCAGCATTTTCGTTGACAAAATCATCCATCAACGGCCTAGTCCCCTGGCTTGGCTCAGGATCTGCGCCGCGGCCAATGGATATCTCAGCACCATGGAGGAGTTGTTGCTGGACGAACGGGTGGACCTAGAAGTCTCCACGCGTCTGGGGCAGACGGCGCTCTTCAAGGCGGTGCCTGGGACCATCTGGGACCATCTGGGACCATCTGGGACCATCTGGGACCATCTGGGACCATCTGGGACCATCTGGGAATTTAGAGGAGTTTGGTGGGATGAAACATCCATTGTTTAATCAATGTTTGCGAAACTGGAACCATCCAATTTTTCCAGGATGTCAGGGAAATGATGGCTAGCCGGCTAGCCATTTGCGGAGATGGCGCGGTTGGGGATGGGGATCAAGGCTGAAGCGGCTTAAGGCCACTCTTTCATTAAACGTTTTAGACAGGGTTGGCCGCACCTATCAACTCAAGTCACTATAAAAACCACCAAAACAACATTATTCTTCATAATGATCAAAATTCATCCACAACTTCCTTTCTTCTGATGATTTCAAGGGTTTTGACCGGTTTTTTTTCCCCTTTTTCATAGCTTCCCCATGAGTTTCCCAGCCGCAGTGCCGAACTCAGGTCCTCTTTGGTCACATGAACACCACGGAGCGGCTGCTGCAGGCGGGCGCTCAGGCGCAGGTGACCAACAAGATGGGCGCCTGGGATTCCGCTGGGCCAATCACCATCCCTGGGTGAAAAAAAAGGGCGTGGTAAACCAATGACTGTCAATTGGGTTCAATTGGTTTCAATTGGTTTTTAGGTCTATTACTTGTATCTTGTATTGTTTTCGCGCAGCTGAATTCCGTGTATTGTTCTTTTTTTGGTGGGACAGATTATATAACCTGATGGAAGACTTCCATGACTATTCGTCATCCTTTTATACTGGAAAACACAAAACTCGACCAAAGTTGAGGTCCCTGAAATGCTTTGCCTCTCTTTCTCAGAATTCTGGCTTTAGACCGTTGCTGTTTTGGCTTTGAACACAGGATCTCCCTAAATCCATATGTTTTTTCCCCCAATTTTCCCCCATTTCTTATTGGTGGCCACTTTGGTGGAGCTATAGCCCCAGCCGAGGACAGAAGATCATGGATGTCGCCAAGGAGGATCATAAAGACGTTCTTCTGAAGCTCTTCGGCCAACATCGGATCGTCGTCTGAGGCCTTTTTTGCGACTGCAGCGACGCCAGTGATGGCTTTGGCTGGGAGTTGTTGTGAATGGATTTGGTGGTCCTGGGTTCCTATGAGCCTTGGCAGTTTATCTGGCATTCCCATGAATCATGGCTATATGCACCAATAATGAGCGGAATGTAAATTCTCAGCCATGGTTGCGACTATGTTCTTAGCTACTTGTTATCTGTTGTTCCAAGTTTGGCGGTTTCTTTTGATGTCGTTCCACCGTTTCCATGCTTTAGAAGACCACAGTTTCCGAGCCCTTTTGCGCCTTCCAAGAACACCCTGCAACCATCCACAAAGCAGTTGCACATGATTCACTGATTGGCCGAGAGATGATAGAGGTTTGTTTGGGGGTGTATCAATCCAATTCAATCCATTTAACGTAAATCTAATCCACAAGCTAAATCTGAATCTAATGATATCCAGATCCAAATCGAAACCTAACGCAATAAAATCATGATGTGTATATGATTTGGTGTTATTCCTGCTGAAATTCCATACGCGGGTGGCAACTGTTCATCTTTTCGATGGGCGCTGGCTTCCTGATGTTCCAAGCATAGCGTCCAGCCGCGTACCACTGACTCGTGCGGCAGTTCCAAAATGGGTCGCAGCCATACCCAGGGCGGCACCGAAAGCTGTCCTTTTCCGCTATGTTCATTGATGGATGTGGTACAGCCAGGACAAACAAGTACCATGCAGTACTTACATAATCTTATATATGTATATATAAAAAATTAAATAAATAAATAAATGAATAAATAAATAAATATATATATATTTAATCATTTGGGCTGATTTAGCAACCTCAAACCGAAACCTTTGGTCCTATTTGGGGGGTACGGTTTAGCAGTTTAGCACATTGATGGGAGTAAATTCTTAGTGGATGGATGGACGTCGCTCGTCCCGGCTAGATGCTGCCACGGCAAGGAATGCGAGTTGATGGTTCGCCCCGTAGGCCACATGACCAGAAGCACAGGCTACCTCCATATTGCAGGGGCATTGCTTTGCTCCAAGAACGGTTATAGAGTAGTTAGTAGTTTTATAGGATTTAACACGGCCCGTATTTAAATGCCAGCCCCACACTCTACACCTTGAAAAATATTGACCGCATCTATCCATACCTTCTGCACAGTGACGCGCCACTCAGGCATTGTGAGAGGGAATTTCACAGCCAATGGTCAGAACCATGGCAGGCCGACCTATAGAAAGGACTGCCTGAAGGGCTGCGCTGTATGTTTGTCTTGTTGCTGTTTGTAGACAACAAGTGGCTGGCAGCTGTAGGGTTCCGTATCCCCAACTAGTAACTAGTATCTACTCAATGCTTAAAACCTGCACCACTCAAAGGTCCAAAGATGGTGAACAAGCGACACTCAATAGGGCTTTGATCAACAAAAACAGGGTTTTGGGATGAATTTCGTTACAATTATTACTTAAGTGCTTTTGGGTAATCAAAGAAGACACGCTGGAAATCCGCCATTTTTCAAACTTTCTAACCTTTACTTTCCAGCCAGTTTTGCCCAAGAATTGGACGGTTTTTGTACCAAGCCGGTCCCAACCTTGCCCCCCATTTTCTATTTTTCATGTCGCCACACCTGGGTTTGCGCAAGAACGGGGGATGTCGGATGCCCCAAGTTATGGTCATCAGGACCAGCAAGTGAATGGCCTGGATGTGATGCTGTACTACTGGGACGAGTACGGGTCCTGAGTTGCTTCCAGGGGTTGTGACCCACTGTTGACTCATTATTTTTCATGATTGACTCACTATTTCTATCCTTGGCTTATGACAAATTTCATTGATTCCACTGAACGGAACAGTCCGTTGTGCCAACCCCCACGGTTTCCGTAGTGGTTCCAGCCACAATTCCAACCCAGGAGAGACGGTCCCAACTTCTGCGGCTGGTGGCGCCAGTCTCAGAGAACAAACAAACGATATACCCATGATTCAGAACACCCCAGTCCTTTAGATTTTTCTATCCATACATATTTACCCACATGTATGGATATTTGAATTTTCTGCCAGTCATCATCTCATAATTTCCTACCATAGGCAGACATCTTCAGCTGTGTCAGAACCTGAGGTTTGGGCCCAAAGTGGGAGGCGACCAGGTTTGGGCGTACCACAACAGCAGATCGGCGATGACGTTTGGAGCGCCCAGAGTTTTTTCTTTCTTGTGCGGGAGAGGGATGGCTCGGGGCTCGGGGGTGCTGGGGAACAAACCATTAAAATTGGTTAGCTTGCAGGTAGCTAAAGCGTCCAGGTCTCCAGGTCCTACATTTTTTTAAACACCAAACTCTGACCTTTGGTGACTCGCCCAGCTGGTGATCTCTTCTGGTCCCTGTCCCTTTCGGCCCGAAGCCTTGATGTGTCATCACCTGAAGTTTCACGGATTCTACATGATTCTACCACCTTTTTTCTGGATTTTCACATCTAGCTTTCCACCCATTTTCCTGATAGGGACTGCTTAGTGCTTAATGTAGGTAATCTAAAGTGTGTCATGCTGTCCTCATCATTTTTCTCTTGGGCTCGTCCAAACCATGGTCAGGGAACTGCTTGAAGGTTTCCAGCTTCCTTCAAGCTTCCCAGGTTTACACCGCATTTCTCATGGTTTTCTGTCAAACATGGAAATGTAACATCCCCTACTTCCAAACGATTTTCCCGTAAAAACTTCCATTTATAGATGGATTTCCCCATCTATAGACCATTATAGACCCTTCATTTATACAGGATTTTCCCATGGAAAACCTCCATTGATGCCCAAATTTTCCATGGAACGGCCATCCGAGGCCCCCGACGCGCGGCTGGAAGGTGCCCTACGACGGCCCCGTGGATGAGACGTTCTCCATCGGCCCCGTGGGTGCCGCGCCGCAGGCGGATCGACCCACGGCTGGTTTCATGGAAACCTCTCAGATGGAAAAAAATGATCCCAAAAAAACATCCCATGATTTACAGTGTTGAATTATATGTAGAATAATAATAAGAATAAGAATAACTATAACTATTATATTAATATATATATATATACTGTATATATATCTTACCCATAGTTACCAACGGGACGGACTGGTGGGTTTTGCAACCGCTCACGGTATCATTGAAAAAATCAGCCCTGGGCCAGTGCCGCAGGTGCCGCAGGTGCCGCAGGTGGGCAGCCATTTTAGGGTCCCAATGGGAGCCGGTCGTCAGAACAGCAAGAAAGGCAAGATCCAACAGAAGGGATAGGTTCCTTTCCCAATTTTTGAGGCTGTCATGTTATATATATATGTATATGTATATGTATATGTATATATGTATATATGTATACATTAAATCGGCAGAGACACCGCGCTCCGTTGGTGAAATCTCTATTGTTGTTGTTGCTCCAATGCCAATTTTTGTTGCTTGAATCTCCAGCTGAATCAAAGAAGTGACGAATCCCAATTTCTGATAATTTCTGCAGGTCCAATGGCCAAACAATTTGAATTTCCTAGACTTCCTGTTGGCTTTGACATCTTTGTTGGACATTTTCCAGCAGAAACCAACCATTCCAACAGATCACTGCTGGCTGCATGCCGCCAGGTACCCGGATTTCCTGCTGCAACGCCCGGCTCCAGACAAGAACAACAAGCCCAGATGCGGCTGCAGCACGAACAACAGCCACTTGCAGACTGTGGCTGTGGTGAGTATTCTCAGAGGGGTTAGATTAGGTATACCCTTCTTTGGGATTATGCACAACGAATTCCAAATGGTTGCTTACTGGGACGGTTTATTTTGATCCTTGTGGGTTAGCCTTGTCTTTTCTGCTGATATATGGAAAAAATCCTGCACTATTTTTACGTAGTATTTCACATCCTTCAAACATCTCAAAACGTCCAAATTGGTCTTAGGGAAGATTTACAGGGAACCTCCCATATTTGGCTGGTCAACGATTTCTCGTAACATTTTCCAACTAAACGAATCCATTGATCAAGCAAGGCAATGGGCAAAATCCACACTTTATATATAGAGGAGTTTCCCATCTATAGACCTCCATTTATTATCATTTATTCAGGATCTTCCCATCTATAGACCTCCAGTTATAGAATATATATATATATAGACTATATATATATAGATGATTTTCAGGTGAAAACTCCAGTCCAGTCACGGGATCTTCACCATTGACCATGCCAGATGTTCGAGGCGCGCCCTGCAACAGCAGCGGATCAAAGAGCAAGAAGAGCTGAAAGCGAAGCAACAGGACTGGGGCGTTCCGCTTCTGTCCTAATCTGAAGACATGACTATATAGTTGTTCGGATTTATCATGTTTTCATGGGATTTGAAATTTACGATGTTTGGATGGGATGTAAAATTTACCATGATTTGATGGGATTTGATTGATGGATTTGATGGTTCCTGGTGGCATCTGTGAGGGTTACCATCTGGAAATTCTAACGGTTTGCTATTGAAAACCAGCATATTAATGGGTAAATCATGGAGATAGATGGGCCATGGCTTCCATGGTGGACACGGTTGGGCCACTTGCCTTCAGTCCTGAAAAAAAGGTCCCCTCATTCAACAACTTCAGCAAAAACCACTGGGAAATAATGGCACATGGCACATCAAACAGGGCCCCATACCCTTTCTTGTTCCCGTCAATGGATCCCAATGGTGTACCCATAACAACCACCAATATTACAAGAACTAGGTGATTTTGGACAACCTCGTTTCCATGAATCATGATTCGTTGGTGAAATCCACTTTTTGGCTGGTTGAAGATAACTTTGGTTGGTGAAATCATCGTAAGATTGGGGTGCCCCCTTTTCACCATTGGATTCTTCACCAAAAGGACCACCGATTTTTCAAAATTTTCGGTTATATTCCATCAAACATCTCTTATGAATGGTTGGTTACCCATCCCCACAATTCTTGGATATATCACCATATGGAGGATAAATTGTTGGTTTGGTATCATTTTTTAAATCTCAAAAAAGTAAAGCAATCACACACTCACACACACACATATAATATATATATATATACTGTATATATACATATAAACAATATTTTGGTTCATACCACCTAGTTATGGTAGAATTACCCAGTAATCTTGATGGATTATACCAAAATTATGGGTCATCTTGATGGATTAATGGCTTACTATTCTTTTACTGACCCATCCATCAAGATGTCTCAAACGCTCAAGGAGATGGCCGCCAGACGCGAGGAGCAAGCGAGACTGGTGGCGGAGCGAAAACAAAAGGAGCAGGTGCCGCCCGGGGCCTCTCCTGGGGAACAAGAACATGCTGATGGAAGAGATCCTGCACCACCTTGGATGGTTGAAATCCTATAAATAGTGGGATAAACCATCAACTGGTGCAGGATATCTTCCATCCACCGTGGCTTTGAAAAAAACTGGGGATCTTGGAGGCAAATTGGGATTTGGAGAACTTGTAGAAGTCAATGTTTGTGGATAGGGACTCTTTTTGGATGTTGACCTGGGGCATGGGGCAGTTGAATTGCTCCGATTTTCAGAGCCAATAGATTTTCCCGCTGGGTTAGTCTACGATGGGGGATCACGCGTGACAAACCCACCTGCTCAAGCAAAACCAAATTTCTGCCACACACTCAACAAGACATCTAATTTCAGGGGTTTAAAGATTTTGAACCATACCCCAAATGGCCTCTTTTTTTCTCCTCCAGGATTGCACCATACCCAAATAGACAACATCCTTCTCAGCACTTCCGCCAGGAATCCACATCCATCATCCGAATGGCGTGTCAAAAGATTCACATCGCCAAGGACGCCGGGTGCTGAATCACAGTTTTTGATTTCCTGAAAATCACCGATTCATAGTGGATCTTCCCAGCTACACACCTCCATTGGCAATGAAGATTTCCCATTGCCGCGTTTGATGACCCGAAGGTAAGATCTTCTTTACTCTTTGGTAATTGTAGCAGTTTGCATGGAAAAACCACCATGTTTTGTATAGAAGTCAATTCTCGAACGAAATGGGCCCTGGCTTCCATGGCTTCCTCCGATCGATCTGCGTCTCGAAGAGTCGGAAGCTCATGGCAGGAGGAGACCATCCAGCAGCTTGAGCAGGACCGGTGGAGATTTGACACCAGGGATTTGACCAAGCGAAATCCGGATTTTTGTATAAAAATAGGAACTTTATATACAAGGAAAGGGAGGGGGGGGCTTCTCGTATATATTTTGGGGGATCCCCCAAAATCATCTGATCCTAAGCGCATCAGGAGCTCTACCAGACCATGCAGTCGCTCGTCAACTTAGGAAGAGGTGACAACTCGGGGGTGAAGAACCCCGGTAGTCACAACAAAGACCCAGTTACTGTATATATAATAATATATATATATTATATAATATAATGGTATATGTGAGAAAAACCCTGGTTAATATATCAACATTTGGGTCATGAAACCAATGAGTAACTGAGATGCACACCTAGAATCCCAGAATGCCAGCAACATTTGCGGGTTGCTGTCGTGAAAAGGCCCAGGAAAAAAATCTGGAAGTTGCCATCCATTCAGCAGGCAAGACATCCTGGTGTTCAGTTGGAAGACACCATGCTCAATGAGAGATACTTCTATCCCGCATTCAAGAGAGAACATCAATGTTTGGTAGACCAAATCCCCAGGGTTCAACAGCAAATAATGATAAATATACCCTCTGATAAACATAGACCCTGAAAATCACCCATTTTTAATGGAAGCTAATCTTCCAACCCCTATCTGCCAGGGTCTATGTTAATTTACCAGAGGGTAGATATTCACCATTCAATGGGACATTTCCTGGTTGAAAGTGGAAAAACATCAACAGACTCCTCGATTCCAGCTGGTGTCCGAAAGGGTCAGCAGCTGCAATTGAGGTTGCACCTGCCCAACTGCGGCTTCATGATGCCAAAGATCAGAGAGGTCACAGTATTTGGATGTGAGGGACCCATGGTCCCATCTACTAAGCGGGTAGTATTTCATAACCATATCATATCACCCAGACATTGGATACCAGATACGATTAGTAAACGCAGCAATATTTGCTGCTACGATCCACCCCAAGTGCCAAGTGCGAATGAGGAAATGAAGGAACTCCAGCGCCAGGAGTGTGAGCAAGTCCTCCTCCAGACCAAAAAGCGCCTGGAGGATATGGCCAGACAAAAGGCCATCGATGAGGAGCGAAAGGTGCGGCTGCAGATGATGGGTTTTTGACAGGGAGGTGAGGCATTCGGACATACATACATATCTGTATCTATATCTATATCTATATCTATATCTATATAGATATAGATATAGAGATAGATAGATAGATAGATAGATAGATAGATAGATTGGGTAATTAGATGAAAGAGAGAGAGAGAGAGAGATATATATATATTATAGAACTTGCTTTTTGTTCCCTTTGGGAGGCGTTTTGCGGCTTAGGATTCAGTAGCTGGCCACGTTTTGCCTGTTGATGTGTTGGGGGGAAGCTGCGTGAAATCATTCACTGGTGTTTTGGTGTGAATTGAAGGGCTGAAACTGAACAGTGGCCATGACTGGTGATGGGCTGATAATGATTAAAAACTTTCAGTGGGGCCTCATTCTTCAGAGTGATCTTGTCCGTTATGCAAACGTGAAACATGGAACACCTACCGCATTCCTTCCTGCAGGAAGTCATCCCGTTAACCGCCTGGTTGCGTCTTCATTTAGAATCCAAATTTGTACTAAGTTTGTGCGGATCTTCTTCCAACCCTTGTCCCTGATTCAATGATTAAATTGGTTGGGAAGAAGATCAACTGAGAAAACCATGGCTTCCTGCCACCCGAACCAATTGAACAAATCCATTGAAGCTGACCCGAGCTTAGCGCTTACCAGTCAGCATCCAGTGAGAAAAGACCTTGAACCACTCCACTTGCTCCACTTATCCCATGGTTTTCCATGGTTTTCCATGTTGTGGCTCTGTCGCCCATTGGTTAGGCCAGAATGACCGAGCAAGCAGAAAAATTGGTCAAGACCTCAGCCTTGGCTTTCCCCCTGTGTTGCTGATCTTTAGCCAAGATGTTGCCAAAAACCATCCATTTTTTTGGGAGATCCCCGGGGCTCAAAATCGGAAATCGCTTACCCTGCCTTCCACCAACATGGCCATGGAAAATCACCAGAAAATCACCAGAAAATCACCAGAAATCACATCCCTGGGTCCGTTATTCTCCAATTTTTTTTCGTGGAACGAGAGATATGGCCAGATTTTCCGCCCGACATCTCGGTGACTCAGATTATGGTTGGGCACATTACAATGCAATTGCTATGGTTTTCCAATGTTTTCCCGCAAAAATGATGGGTTTTCCAATGTTTCCCGCCCGATTTTCACGGAAAACAACCAAATCAGCACCTGTGAGGTGGACGACTTCAACATCAAGGTGGCGGCCGCAGAGGAAGCGGTTGGGAACTGAGGTTCTTCGGGTGTCTTAGATGTTTTTTTTAAAGGTGGGGTAGGTCAACATCACGGTTTATTTATGTTTATATGGAGGTTTCCTGCAATGGGGGTACCCCGATAGCTGGCTGGTTTATAATGGATAATCCTCTTAAAATAGATGATTTGGGGGTACCCCATTTTAGGAAACCTCCATATTGTGTTTATCATCACTTCCCCCAATCAACATGTTTCTTTTGGGATAAATGTGCAGACCGTTTTGGGCCAAACGACATATTGTTCCCTCCCAAGATATTGAGATATCGTTTTCTTGGTCAGGTTTGTCATGCTTCGCCCCGTCTCTTAGCTCACAAGATCCATTACCAGCTGTGATTCGTGTGGGTTTCCCCATCTACCAGGCTTGGATCAAGAAGGGGCTTCCCCCATGTATTTAGAATGGTCTTTGGCTTCCCGCCAGAGCAGAAGCCGTGCTCGTAAAAGCTTTTTTAATGAGCTTCTCACTATGGTGAAACCTCAAATTTGAATATCATCATGAGGCCAAATTCTCCCAACAAAATCGGGACATTTTTGTGGTTTTACCAGTGACATGTCATTTTTATCGGCTTCTGCAGAAGCTCTGCTAAATCATTCTTTTTCTCAAAGGATGCGCTTTAAGGTTTGAATTGTTTTCTTTTGCAAATGGGTATGGAGGTTGATGTGCCTCCACTGCCAAGATTTGCAATACAGCAACAAATCGCGGCTGTGAGAGGACAAACTGTTGAAATTTGTTGCACAAGTCAGTAACGTAACGTCAAGAACGTAGTTGAAAGCTTTTAGAAGATGTTGAAAGTTACTAAAGTAGTAGGAAGATGTTGGAAAAGGGAGTAACGTAGTTGGAAAAATGTTAGGACCAAGGACGTTAATAGCCCACCCCACCCCACCCCAAGAAAAACGTTAATTCTATGAGCACGGTTTTCGGTCCATTGGCAAAAACATGATTTTTAGATATTTTTGACAAGGTTTCCTTGAAATCAGTTTCATTACCCTAGGGCAAACATACAAAAAGATATGGAAAAACCATGGTTTCCCTACAAAAATAATGTATATGCTTCAAATATGTTAGTTTACAGGATAACCATGGTCACCCGTTACCCAGTGACAACTGAGGCCAAGATGTTGACCGAAAAGGCCGAAGCGCCGGGGAGCCTCAGTGTGGTGTGCGAATGAGAATGGCTGGTTTTCTGAATGAGTTGCCCTGGGTTGCCTTAGCACTGTCAAGGCCTTACTAGCCCTGCATAATTTGTTTCTTTTATTTTCTTTGAAGTTTTTCTTGAACACAACAAACGCTAGAGCCGCTAGAAACAACATTAGCACCTACCTGGCACGTGATGCCAAATCGTTTCCATCTTAGCCACAGGCCCATGGGGTGGGCCTTCAAGGCCGCAGTTTCGGCCCAGGTTGACCACTATTGACACCATCCTGCAGATGTCAGAGAAAGAAATTGAGCAGCAGAACCAGGTCATCCAGGAGGCTCTATCATTGGTTGGCTTCCCAAGGTATGCTGGTGTAATTAAATTGTAATTAAATAGTTTTTCTTATGAATTCCAAGTTTTTCTGTCACCACTCCACTTTTTTCAGAGCGAACATCTACATTCTTGTTGGTTAAATCCATGTTAAATCCATCCTAAAGCCATGTTTTTCTGAGGACCCCCTCACTTTATTGACATTTGACGCCTGGCCGTTGGCCTTTTGCAGGCTCATAAGGAGGCCAATGATAGGATCAAGATTTGCTGATGGCTCAGTGAAGGGGTGACCCCAGGAACAACTGGAGGAAACCCAAGATCTTTACATATCTTTACTGGTGGTCAGGAAGGTCCATATTCCCATATATTTGTATATATGTCCCATTGACTTTTGCCCGAAAAACAGCTTCTGGGAAAGAATGTGTTGGATCCAAGATTTGACATGGGTTTAATTTCCAAAAAAAACCCTCCAACAAACAATCAACCCTCCGGAAACCTAAAATGAGCTTCCTTCTGTTGGTTTATAATAGTTATAGACGTAAAACATATAAACCTATTCTATTCCAATCACGGTGGGGGAATGTTCACCTCCCCAAATTCATTTTGAGGTCGGCCATCCTCACCTGAGGCCATGACTATTTGCAGGAGTACTACATGCACATGAGGGTGCCCGATTCGTAGGGCTCCCCTGCAGGAGTTCATGGGTTGCTGAAATGGGAAGTGGATCCCCTTAAACAATGAACGCGCCCATAGATTCCATAGATGTTGCTGAACGCATGGGTTTGCAGATTGGTGTTTTCTCGGTCTTGGATCGCAGATTCTTGGTGTTTGTGTGGAGGGCTGGCACTTCTGGAATCACAGACGGCTTATCTTTCCTTGGTCAGGATTACCTCCCAACGTCCCAGATACCAAGGGGGAAGTTCGGAAATAAGGTGAGACCAATTATGATGGCGCTAGCCATCATGAATTTACTTTTGATATCTTTTCATCGATGTGTTTATCTCTTGATTCTTAGCCTCGCCTAGGCCGGGACAGCCACCTGCAACGGTGAATGTCAGCCTACAGAAGATCTCGGAGAGGTTAACTGCCACCACAACGGACAAGGACGCCGCGGAAAAAAATGAGCAACGACCAAAAAGGAAACACATGGCATCCCACCTAGAGATTCCCAAGCCACCGGCCCCCAAACCATTTAGACTTGAGCTCTGGACTGAGCGTTGAGGCCTATCTAGATTGAAGTCCAAATCCGAATCCAAACCTGATCGAACTTAATCAACCCGAAGCTTGTTTTGCCTCATCTCATTTCATCTCATTTATCTCATTTTGTCTCTTCTGATCTTATTGTCCTAGTTGATCTTGTCTCACACTATCGTATCTTATCGAATCTTATCGCATCTTGTCGGTCTAGCTGTCTATCTGTCTATCTTCGGGACCAATTTTTAGCCACGAAAAACGCTTTTCTTAGCCTTGAACATATTTTTTTAGCTACGTATATAAATAGGTTTAGCCACGTAAAAGAGTGGGTTTAGCCTTGAACATATATTTCTCTCTAACAATGCAAAAACAAAAGATGAATTTTGCTATAATACGTATTGCATTTGAAAAATAAATGTTTTATGGTTAATTGTACTCTGCTGATAGGAAAACCGTACGGATGGCAGCGGCAGCGATGTTGCCCGGCGAAAGGCAGTGTCAAGTCTCACGTATTGTTTCCGTCCATACTTCAATAGTTTGAAATATAAAGCATCATTGCAAAACCTTATCGGGCGGAGGTGTTTCACAATAATAACAGATTTCTCTTTTGAAGCATCCACATCAGTTTGAGGAAGATGAGACTGTTGCAAGTGTGGCGGCAAAGCCTAGACGCCTAGACCATCCGTTTTTCAAATGCCTCCAAAGTTCCGAGAGGTTGTTGCCAAGCAGATTTTTGCGGCCACGGATGCTGCGCAAAGGTGTCTTGCTTTTGATTTTGTTCTTCCTAGCTGTCCTAGCGGTATTGTGAGGGCAGGTTGAAGCTCATACCTACCAAATAATGTTAAGTTGACTTGCCGCAGGCTCCTGAATCCCCAATAACTGGGCAGACCCTCGCCGCGCCAAATGTACAGTTTCGCGATCGCCTTCCATGCTAGAGAGGTGCCAAGCATGGTGAGCCACATTGCCCTCTTCGATCGCAGGGGGTCGCAGGAGTCTGGATTGGAGATGAGTGCTGGTCGCAGAAAGTTAAGCGGGTATCTCTCCAGCAATTGCTAGCTGACGGTGCTGGGCGTCGTGGTTTCTCATCACAGAATTGCATGCAGCCCAAATCTCACCGACGTGAAGTTGCTGCTGGTTTAGTTTAAACATGTTTTTTCCTATTTATTTTTTTGCGTGCAAGAACCTTGCGTGCATGTACCTAACCCAAACGGCAAACGCTTTGATAACCAAATGCAAGAGTCCATTTTGACACTCCATCTTTGCCGGTGGGCTGTTTCGTCGAGGTATTTATTCTAAGGCCGTGGGCTGGGTAATTGAACGTGGCGGCGCTGCCCTTTTGATGTTTGTGGATCATGTGTCGGTCGGCGTTTTGCAATGGATTTCATGTTTTTCTGTCAAGTTTGCGTCTCAATTCCATTGGTTTTATCGTTTTTCTGTGCGCTGGCCATCAAATATGGACATTTCATCCCCGAAAAAGTGCTCAATTTTTGGCGGGTCATTTCACAAAGTGACACTGGGGCCATGGTTTTGGCACATGAAAGCGTTTTTTTTTTGCGCCAAGTTTTAGTCACGAATGTGCCAAGGTTTTGCCAGTCAGAGACATCAGAAACGTAGTTGGAAGCTAGTAGAGAAGATAGCAGCGTACTTGGAAGATGTCTTACAAGGGATGCATGCTAACATGCTCGGAAGTTGATAGAGAAGATAACAATGTACTTGGAAGATGTCTTACAAGAGATGCTAACGTAGTTGGAAGTTGATAGAGAATATAACAACGTACTTGGAAGATGTCTTAAAAAGGATGCTGACGTACTTGGAAGTTGATAGAAAAGATATGATAAGAACGTACTTGGAAGATGTCTTACAAGGGATGCTAAGTTATTTGGAAGTTGTTAGAGAAGTGAATAACGTAGTTGAAAGTTCTTACTAGACGTTAATACCACACCCCACCCCGTGCAAGATGTTAGAGAAGTCAATAACGTAGGTGAAAGTTCTTACTGCAAAGGACCTTAATACCCCATCCCGCCCCACCCCACGATGTTAGACATTAAAAAATAGTGACAACTACACGTTCGGTTGTCCACCCGTAGGCCTGCTTCTCATCGTATGGAAAGCAGGAGTTGAACCCAGGTGCGGAGTTGAAGGGGTGGACACCGGATGGCGATGCAGCAAAGAAGTTACCCCAGCTGGGCGGAGGCGATCGTCTCAACTCAGCATAATGTTGTTTTTGGCCACCTTCTCCGGGAACGGGCAATCGAAGTGGCACAGGTAAATTTCTGACTAGCTCCGAAATGAATCCTATCAAATTAGATTTGACTGTAGTTTCCGCATGGTTTGCAAGAATATCATGAAGGAAACGACTTCCTTAAAACAGTGGCTTTGCAAGAGGGCGGTGACCCAATTTCATTGCAGGCTCTGGGGGCCCTAGTCGGAGCTGCAGAACCGAAAGCAGATGCCAGCCGGCTAAGTAAGTCTGCGCACTGCGAAGAAGTTGAAGGCCAGCAACTTTTTGAGTATTTTCAGGCAGAGCCCCAGCGCTTGTCGAAGAGACACCTTCCTGTGCAGCAGTGGTTGGCACAGGCACCACTGCGCCCTGGCGCGAGGACTTTGGCTGATACCAACGCGCAGATGGCAATTGCCATAGAGCCGCTGCAAAAGCAAAGAAGATCAAGCTTCATCGTGGGGCTGTCGGTCAGAACCTCATTCTAAAGGAAGAAGAATAATCCGTTTTTTAAAGAAGAAAGCTAAAGGAAGAGTAATTCCTTTTTTTTTCAAGAAGAAAACCTAAGGCAGAGTATGTTTTTAAAGGCTAAAGGAAGAGCAACTCTTTTTTTAAAGAAATAAAATAAAGGAAGAGCAAGTCCTTTTTCAAGAAGAAAACTAGAGGAACAGTAATGCGGTTTTCAAGAAGAATGCTAAAGGAAGAGCACTTTCAAACCTGAAAGTAAATTGTTTGAATAACAGGCGGTAAAAACAAAGTTCGCTAATTATAATGGGATTTAAAAATAAAAAGCTGATAATTGCATAAATTGCGTCAAGCTAATCAACAAAGAATTGAGATAGTGGCAAAAAAAGACCGCATTTCACAACACTCCGTGGCTAAAGGTTTTTCGTGGCTAAGTTTGATTTCGTGGCGAAAAGGCGTTTCGATTAAAAAAAAAAGTGGAATAATTACGTGGCTAGGAACGCCTGCCGTCTATCTTCCTAATTGTCTATCTATTTGTCTATGTATTGTCTATCTATTTGTCGACCTATATCTATATCCAATATCTAAATTACATCTAAACCTACATCTATACCTACATGGCCTGTATGCGTATATTTGTACCTAGTCACACGGACACAGATATGCACACACACACATATTATATATCCGTACATTTATTTATTATACACACATCTCTGTCTCTCCCCCCCTCTCTCTCTCTCTCTGTCTCTGTCTCTGTCTCTGTCTCTGTCTCTCCCTCTCTCCCTCTCCTCTCTCCTCTCTCCCTCTCTCTCTCTGTCTCTGTCTCCCGTCTCCGTCTCCGTCTCCGTCTCGGTCTCGGTCTCGGTCTCGGTCTCGGTCTCGGTCTCTGTCTCTGTCTCTGTCTCTGTCTCTGTCTCTCTCTCTCTCTCTCTCTCTGTGCGTGCGCATATACATGTACACACACACAGATATGCAATATATTTGTCGCTCTAAAATTCAACGCGTAAGGCAACAACAGCTCCCCGCTATGGCAGGATGCCATCTTGGTGAAGTGCTCCAACTGCCGCAAAATGGCGGACAAGAAGAAGGAGGTGCCGTGGTGCCGTGGGAAGGGCGGCCCTCGACGTTGGGGACGGTGCCTGCAGGCGCAGAAGGTGATGGAGGGCATCAATGCCAAATTCAAGAGCTACGACAGCAACAAAGACGGCTTTTTGGATAAAAAGGAGATCATCGCCTATTCCAAGAAGGACCTGCTGCGCCAAACTGTTTTTCTTGGGTTCTGATGAGGGATGGTCCGGGGTGTTGAAATGTTCAAGTGTTCCGGTCATGAAAGATGTTGTTCTGGACCTTTTTGATGTGGTTGTAGCTTAGAAGTTCATTCGGGGGTGAATTTGGGGTAACTATGGGATACATAATTTTGGGATATAGAACTCTATAATACATATATGAGATAACTATGAACAACTCATGCCACACAGTTGTGCTGCAGCGTCAAAGGCGTTTAGGGCAAAAAAGGTTTAGGGCGGTTGGGCGTCAAGGGCTGACGCGGCCCTGGGAGGAGTTCAAATTTCCTCTGGCTGAGAAGGACGTGACCAAGATCCTAAAGGTCGTTGAGACAATCAGTTGCCAACCTTTCACTGCCTAGTATCCATTGGCTATATGTTAACCATTCCATTTGAAGATGAGAACATAAATGGAACCTTAAATAGAACATAGATAGTTTAAATGCCAATGGATGGATCATAACCAGCAAGAACCTATCCACCCGACCATAATCACCAACTCTCCACAAAAAATCATCCCGTTTTCCAAACATCCCACCACTCGCCTTTTCCAAGCCAGGCTTTAGAGCTTGGCACCAAGGGCGTTCCCCAAAGCGACTTTCAGAAACTGAAGGCGCGACCCCTGGAATTTCAATGCTTAGCTCCTGGTTCTGTCCAGTTTCCGCTGGTTCTTCCATTCTTTGTTTCAAATCAGGCAGTGCAATCCGGACTCGCAACATATTCCCAGGATTTTGCACCATTTTTCTATCCCAAACCATGGCGCAGGTGCGCATCGGCTGCCTGCGCGAGAAGGTGCTGGATGATGCACGGCGCAAGAAACGCGAAGCACGAGAGCTGGAGCTGGAAGGGTACAAGGACCTGGGTGGCTCAACTTGATTGAAATAGCCCCTAGAAATTCATGAAAAAACATAGAACTGCTGGGGTTCAAATATTGTTCTCTTCAAGCATATTTGGGATGGGGATTTAAGTGGCAGAAATGATGGTGTAAGAATGTAAGATTAACGATCAACCAGCAGATGAGGATCTTGGGAGAAGAAACATGTTGGGGTTTGAAAGCCACAGAATTTCCATAAGCACAGCGGCATCACGTATGATTCTATCCTGACATTTGGCTGACACATGGACTGACATGGGAATTGGCACTGACATATCATTTGACATACATACTGAAAGATTTGAGGACAGTGGACTGACAAGTGAATTGACATGTCGACTAACAGTACCGTCATTTGAAGAGCATGATCACCAGCCCAATTAGTGACTGTTGTGATGTTGTTTTATAACTCTCAAATGTGGGGAACATAGTGGTGACCACAGTTATATATATATATATATTTGGTTTCCCACATTCCAGTCATAATGGTGACATTGAGTTTTGCACCATCATTAAATTGCGAATGTTATTTTATACACTTAGAACAATCTTCAGATGGTGGATTGATTTCTTGGGTTTAACCCACATTCATTCATACAGTTTCATACCTTTTTGCAACATTGTTGTAAAAATCACAATTATTTCGATTACACACCATTAATACCATAGTGGTAACCCCAAGTGAGTGGTAAAGCCAATAATGATACACCCTAAACCATACAAACATCCATAAACTTGCCATAAAGCCTCTAGAATTTCCCAGCTTTACCACATCAAAACATCCTCCCAACACAGGACGAGTTCAAGGCCAAGCTCACGAAGTTGGACGAAAGCACCGAGTCCGTAGAGGCAGAGGTGAAGAAGGCGCGCCACCGAAGGAACGGGTGGTCTTTTCTGGGAACACCCAGGGGCCTTGCTGGAAAGATCAACCCAAAAGCATCCAAAAATGAATCTGGGAAGATGGTGTCTATGTTTTTTTCCGTTTGAATGGGGGCAACGTTTTGGAAGAAATAGATGATAGGAGAGATGATCAACGTATTTGAATGGCACGAAGTAGTACTTCGGAGATGTCAACGCGTTTGTTTCTGCCCGCTCCACCGGCCTACGGCCAGCTCAAATAGCAGAGGGGACAGGAAATAGTGGCCAAGGAATCCCTAGTCATATATAGGTATGACATAAGATGAACATAACATATATATTGATTATAATGTGGCAAACCCAATCATAAACCTCCAATTTTGGCTGGTTTGTACCACCCATTTATGGCAAGATTGGGGTCTACAGGTCCAACATTTGGAGATTCCCATGGATCCGGATCCCAGGTGGAAGACTCCATGGGCGAGGTCAAGGTGCGTTCTTCAACCTTGCCGTTGGTGGCGGATTCAGCCCGTTTTTAACACATGGGGATGGCGGCTGGGTTGATGTCCTGTGAGGCGGATACCCTGAAGCTACTTGGTTTTCAGCGATGGGGGATGGAGCCCGGAAAATTCCTGTGGCCGGCTGCGGACAGGTGGCGCCGTTGGCACGTAAAAAAACAGACGGTGTTTAGGGCTAAGGGGAACATTTGATAAATTTTGATTGGAACAACTTGGGTATGAACATGTTCTCATAATTTCTCATATAAGTTAATCCAATGGGGCTGAGATGTATCCAACTTGGCACTGAGGTCCTTCGAACTGAAGGTCAAGTGTGAGCAGGCACAAGGGCGTCATGTTACGTGGGCTGTTTGGGTATGACCACAGCTTGTTTTTCAGCTCGAGATACCTTCCATGCAATCTCAAACAAACCTCAAAGACAGAAAAAAGGTCAACTTCCAGATCCATTGAGTGAAGGCCCTTGGATTTTAAGAGATGTCCGAAGGAATTGTGGATGAAGGGGATGGACGCGCGCGGTCACGTTGCCAATTGGCTCCCGGCATTCAGGAACCTTTGAGAGGGTTCCTCTCATGTCATTCGCCAGACAGTCAACGATTTTGGGCCTTACCTGATTTCTTCGCATTGCTTTTAGTGCGACCGTCCAATCATTCCACATGTCGGCCTAAGGCCTAAACCGAGTGACCAACCATTTTGCGCCAATTTGGAGCGCCCTCAGTAGGCAATCCAACATCATTCAAAACCCCTACCGACTTGAGAGTTCTACTGTGCTTCCCGTGGGAAGTACCCACTGCAAACCAGCGTATAGAAACCCATGTGTGGTTGGGAATAGACCCCGTGATCGATTTTGAACTCCGTGATTTGGGGTTGCCACAGCTACCATTAGGACCTGGCCTTGTGCTTTGACCAGGGAGGTTTCTGATACAAGCCATTCCAAACATTTTCTGGGCCAACTCCTGGCCCATCAAAGAATCTGGAGGAATGCACGGTCTCTCCAAAACATCGCATTTTCTTAGCGGAAATTAAATCTTAGCCATGTGTTCCTGTCGGACCATCGTTTTTCAGTTGGAGTTCGTATATTCCAATATTTTCCCCCGTAGTTTCAGTAGATTTTGGTAGTTGGAGTCTTACACCCATAGCATATCCCCCTCCGTCGGCCGTATGGCCCCTGCTCCGGCCCATGGCCACCCCGGTGCAGCTGGAGATCAACCGGCGCTTGACCGCATGGGATGCGACGGCACAGGGGATCTTGCAGGCACCAGCGGCGTCGCTGCCGACAGACCTTGGTGCTTTTTGAGTATATGGTACTGTATATATTATACATGGATTATGTAATAATATTCATATAATATCCATATAATATCCATATAATATCCATATAATATCCATATAATATCATATAATATCCATATAATATCCATATAATATCCATATAATATCCATATTATGATGTAATTCTTTTTGACCTATAGATGATTACAGTATGTATTATAGGATTATGATGGATTATCTATGTATATCTATAAGATGTTATATATGCATAACCGTATCTATCAATGACTAACAATCCATTTTTTGATCGGTACTTTTTTTGACCGATGCCCGCTTGAAAAAAAAGGAGAATCAGCCACACATGCCTTACCGATTTTCGCATTTTTGGCGACATTTGCGGGGCTTAGGCTTTCGCATGCTTTCGCGAATCGCAAAACCAGAGAGAAACCAGCGAAAACGCAGAGAAGATAGAGAAACTATATGATCAATCCCCTGAAAGTGAAATGACTCATTTGCCCACCAATTTGCAGTGATCATCCACAATTAAGCCGGGGGGTAATCCATGAGTTATTGGGGTTTATCTGGACACATTTTCCAGATTTTCCCACCACTTCCTGTTGGAATCTTCAGGTGGTACAGCGGGACCTGGAAAAGTTCAACTTGGTGAACTGCACCACGGCTCTGCATCGCTATGCCAAGGCGGTGCATGGCCATGGTCTCTCGGCCCTACGCCCGGTTGGGTGCCGAAAATGGTTCCACCTATTTCCACCCCCAGGGGTGGATAAAAATTTGAGTTTTTGACAGACATGATGGCTAGTAGAGGCCAATATTGGCGAAATCTGAGGGGTGTTTCCACCCAGATGAAATGGGATTGAATCCTCTGGAAGGTTGGCCAAGAACCAAAAAGCAAAAGCTGCGCATCTCGGGGTTGTCTATGAAAACTTTAGAGATCCAGTTTTCTGTTTAGGAAGTCGTGATCTCTCATACATGGATAGTCTTGTCCTCCAACTTGCCGTTGGTTTCGCTTTGCCATCTACTTTGGGGCATGCTCTGCAGTGTGTTTGTGACCATTGCTCTAGCTCTTGCTCCACGTTCATTTTTCTTGCTTCAAACAGAAACCTGATTCTCGGTCACATCCTTATCTTTGATGGCAAAGCTCACGCGCTGGATACCAGAATCTAGATTGTTTGTTGCAACATGACATCTCCTGTTCCCTCCCATTGGCTGAAGGACCGAAGGAAAACAATCCAGGACCCCTCCAGAGCTGATGGGAAAACATAGCCATGGACCCCCTGTTCCAACAGCTCCCAAGGTCCATCCAAAAACGAGCCGCAGCTGAAGCGGCTGCTGTCGCGAACCGCAGAAGTGCTGCAGAAAGCCAAGGGAAAGGTACGGCTGGAGGGTTGGGGCTGAGTAGCCAAAAAAAGGATGACATTGACCAACAAAAAGGGCAGGAAAGATAAGACTCATCAACATGAAGACTAACAAGAACAACTACCCACTAGTAAATTAACATAGACCCTGGCAGATAGGGATTGGAGGATTTGTTTCCACTAAATATGCACTAAAAATTGTGTATTTTCGGGGTCTATGTTCCAGAATTTACCAGAGCGTAAGTAAGTGGTCTCAGACACGAGGAGTGAACCAAAAAGGTTCTGGGAAAATTCGTCAGCTAAAGGGGGACTGAAAGGGGGAATGTTCGACACAAAATCAACCCCGGATCAACAAATTCCTTGAAGTAAGGATAGTAAGGTTTTGGGGGGTTTATTACTAAAGACAGCTACTGTAGAACTCCCAGACTTCGTACACCTTTTTTTTCTCCGTAGAACTGGTAGTTTAGGAGAATCTTAGATTATCTTGCAGGTGCCAGCACAGAACTTGGCCAATGCGCTTTGGGCCACTGGGCAGATCCAATTTCTGATGACTGGGATGACTTTACCTAGAAAAAACATGGAGCTTTTCCATGGCCATGTGTTTTTTACCAGAGGGCGTGGGTCAAAAATTGGTCGCTGAAGGGTGCCTTTCTGGGTCCTTGAACTGTAGAAGCTGGATGGTCAAGGTGAAACGCACCAAACTCGTGGGCTATGATTGGGTCATAGTCGTGCCGCCCAGACATGGATGAAATAAATGTTTCCCTCAAATCAAATGAAATGTACTCATTTTCGTAGGTAGTTTTGATCTTGCAATCTGTTTGTCATAGAAATTGAAGGCTTGTTCTGTTGAATATGCCTTAAAGGGGTCACTGAAACGATTGCACTTTTTTCAGGATGCTACAGATGATGTTTTCACCATAATTTCCAGGTTTCCAACTTGTCTATCTTTTTGGTCGCTGCTGTATAAATATGATGGTACCTTATCAGTTGGTTGCGAACCCCATCTAACTAGTTCCGTAGACCCACCAGAAATCCCAGCCTCCTCAATTCAACAATTCAACCAACTTGCCTATCGTTTGGGGGCCACATTTTTGATACTTCGGTCGCTAATATCCCAGTTACCTATAGCAAAGTCAGACCCTGAACATAGCCAATTTTCATCAATTTTGGATACAGGATGGTGCCCCCCAGTTATAAGTTGGTTTATAAACCCCATTAATTATAGTTATAAGTACCATAAACCATAGTTATTGGAGTTATAAACCAACTTAGCTATCTTGGGGGCACCACCTTGTAGGTATCACCAGGTCCCAGCAAGGCCATGGAACGGCTGCAGCTCAGTGCCTCGGAGGACGCCGTGATGGCCGTGGCGTGGCAAGCGCGCGAGGCGCTGCAGTGGTTTCTCTGGAGCTTCACGGGGCAAAACCTGGCCGCTTGGGGCGGCACTTGGCGCCGAGGTGTTGCCTGTTGCCCGTTGTTAACATAGTAAACCTCCCAAAAAGGATGGGGAAATCATGATTTTTGAAACTAACTTAGTTGGGATTTTACTTTTCCATTTCTTTTGGAGGGGTTGTGATAGGTGGTTCACATCTGAAGCAATGGATAGTCCACATCTGGAGATGTTGTGGTTTGATGGCTGTTGATGTGGGGAAGACCAATGGATTGAGGACAAATGCTGCTTGTGGCATGTACACAGGCCCGCAACACTGGGATATCCGTGCCGATTCCCGCCGAATCCGATATCACTACACTACCATAAGAAAGCCGAGTTGATGGGAAGTGTGGGAAGCTCATGAGAACAGCGTTCCAGTCGTGAAGGTACCTGCGAATGCTGGGGAGTATGTGCATGCCACATGGATCCAGATGAGCAGAAAGGAAACCAGAGGACATCCAAAGGGCTGATTCAATTGTAGGTCATCACCTACACGGGATTATTTGCTATGGGCTGGTTTGGCCGCGACTGATGGGAAGAGAAACTCTCATCAACTACTGGAGCTGCCTTGTTTACAGGCGACCCAACAATCGGACACGGGTCAAGTTATGTCATGGATGTCATGGCTACAACAAGAGCTTGAAGAGGAGATCCATCAAAGTTCACTGAAACCCCAGTTTTAACCATCGGATGTGATCGGTTTCCCAATGTTTGCAATTGGTTTACCTTCATTTTAACTCCCAAAAGGATGCAGAAAAGTTTCAATTGGCCATTCTACAGTAGAACACTTGATTGTTTGCTAAAGACCCATTCGCTCGGTGACCAAAAAATTTACCATCATCCAGCTATGCAAAATTATTCAATAAGTCCTAAGATGTCCTAAGTGACTTCCAAGTGACATCACTTTTTTGGGGGCTGAATTCGTCCCTCCCATTCCACGATCCCGACCATCCAAGGCCAACGTTGCCTGGGCAGTGGCCAAGATGCTGAGTGGCCGCTGCTTCCCCAGGTTTTGACGCGTTTCTGTGGGCTAAACAAAACAAATTGGAAGACTTCATTGAAGACTCGGTATCATATGGTATCATGTATCATCCATTCTTGACCTGTTCAGTTGGTATCAACAAAAGTAGGCCAGTGACCTTTTCAAACCAAAAAACAAATATTATAACAAGAGGTATGAACGGCGGGTTCCATGAAATGAGAATTCAATAGAAATCAAGCGTAGATCTGAAGAACGTTGGGCAATGCACTTAGGGGTTGAATTCGAGGGTGCCTTCCACGGAAGACCATCCCCAAAATTAACAAAGACCCAGAAATAAGCCAATTTTTAGTGGAAAGTAATTATATGATATGTGATTTGGGGGGAGTGTATTCCAACTCTACTACGCTATTAATACGACTTTGTATCTGGTTTTCCCATCACCAGTGCCATCATTCTTATCATTATCATTATTATAATTAATTACCTATCTATCCGTAAATGCATCCATAGGTAATAATACATCCAATCTCACAATAGCCTATAATTACCTATGATTCTTAGGTATGATTATGACCTATCTATCCATAGGTGGATTTTTTTTCATCCTGGTCATCCTTTTCCAAGCTCACCACCTCCACATCGCAACGCCGCCTGAGCGCCTAAGCCGCGCTGCTTTAAGGAGATGCCCAGAAGCTGCTGGGGTATCCCACCCAGACGAAGCAAAGCTTCTTTGATCCCTTCCTGGCAGCGCTGGAGCAGCGTGCTGCGGATCTCAATGCGCAGGAGCCCCGGTGGAGGATTTCCGGTGGAGCCCTGGGAAATCTGTTCTCGGAGAGACATCCAAGGTGGCTGTGCAGTGCAGTTTTCGGGTTTTTCTTTGGTAATCCATGGAATGTCCAATGTTTCTCCAAACTACAGCTTTTGCTCGGTTCTTTGTCACTTGTGATGGCTTTCCTATGCTTTCCTAGGATTTTGCAAGTTGTCCTTTTGACGTTTCGGAACTTATTGGTGTTCTCTTTTCTCCCGTGGATTGTGATTGTGCGAAACCACAGTCCAACAAACACAAAATCATCAAGATTTGTGTTATTCCTCAACTGTTTTTTCCTCTCAGTGTTTATTTCCCCTTACCATACAATACCACTTTCAATGGGTTGACGGAAACATTTGCTGGTTACACCCTTGCATTTGGGGGTAAACACCCATGGGTTTCCTGTAAGCTTTCCGTCCTTCAAATCCATTGAAAGCATGAATCCATACGAAAAAAAAAGACTCACCAGGATCTATGTCCTAAGAGTTCCACAGGTTTCCATCATCCCCAATTTTTTCTGCACCCGTGATCCACTCCCCAGGAGCTTTCGATGGCTGCCTGGTCCGTGGCGGGCTTTGGGGGGGACGATGCCAAAGCCATGCTGCGGGTCTTGCAAGCCCTGGGCGAGGCGAGACGGGCCATCATGGGCCATCTGGGGAATTTCGAATGGCAAGAAACAACACGCAGAGTCCTCCTATGGTGAGGCCTTGCAATTGACGATCCCCAGAGTTAGCACCATAAATATCCATAAATCCCATAAATCCCATAAGTCACTAAGACTCACTAAGTGGCTTCTACCATGGCTGCAAATCCTATCTGAATCTTGTGGGGTTCCTGGGGGTTCCTGGGGGTTCCACCATCCAGGCGGCCCAGTACCGCCTCAAAGAGTTGAGCGCCCAGCAGCTGGCCACCTTCAGCTGGGCCTTTGCCAAAGCAGGGCGGACCCAGGTGCGAAATGGATGGCTTGGGATTGGGCACCCCAAAAAAAGCGGTGGACATGGCTTACTTATGATGGATTTTATGGGTTTATCATGGTTTATTGTTTTTTTTTTGGTGTGGGGGTTTGATGGTTAAATCTTGATTCTATGAGTTATACACGTGTCTTGTCCTTTTAAAACGCACCGTTTGAAGTCTTATGGATGGAACTATGGTGGTGGTCGAGGACTTCCCCCCGCTCAAATGGCTTGTGTTTGCAGGCAGCCGAGTCGATCCTGAAAGACATCGCGCGGGCAGCCGCGCCAAAGGTCACCAGAGGCGGAAAAACGAAGACAGATAGCCGCTGGTAATTTGACATAGCTATGGGAAACTGTCTATTTGTAGATGATTTACCTAGATTTATATACACACAACATAACGATTTTCGATGGCAAACTGTTAATTTACATTTGCCAGGGGGCAAGTTCGATCTGATGTGAACACCCGGATTGATCACCAACATTCACCAAAAAAGGTATTGATCACCAATCAAAATAGTTTTTCATAGGCATTGACCAGCAATATTCACCGGTCAAAATAGTGATTGATCACACACAATTCTTGGGCCTTTGTGGGGAATGCTTGGGATCTGTTTGGATGATGGGATGATGGGACCGCTCAATTGGTCAAACTGTTAGTGTTAGTGTAAAACAACCATCTGTTTTTAAAAAAGGAGCCATACCCGTTTGAGTTTCTGGCATCCGAATTTGGATAGATTGATGTATGTAGGTGTAGACGTATAGATTTGTGGATATATTCGGTCAGGGTAGATAAAACTTTTGGGTACAGCTTTTCCAGTGCCTGTGCCTTGGGCTGTGGCCAGTTTTGATGCAGTTGGGATCATTTGAATTCATTTGATATGACTTTTATGAGTAAAACTATGGATACAAACACCAGCAAAGTATCCACAAGTTAGGAGATCAACCCTGCAACTATGGCCATCTATGGCCATCTATGGCCATCTATGGCCATGTACCTGGCTGAGATTCCTGCGACGCCCAATGGAAGGTGACTTCAACGTCCAAGATCTGTCGAACATCGCCTGGGCCTTTGGGCGGTTACAGCTGCCTGCGCCTGAGCTACTGAAAGCTTTGGCTCTGATCCTGCCGCAGCTGGGACTGCGAAAACGTTGCGACTGGTGACCCTCCAATCATCTACAGAATCTACCCTCCAGTGCCATGAAACATGGATATTTATATATGATTTATCCCGATTTGTCCCCATGAACTCCTCATTTGGTTTGGGGGTTTCCAGCCAAGAGTAGAGATGTGGGATGGTCCGTTCAAGCAAGACGATCCCCTCAACCATGGTTGGAAGATGGTTGTTGTTGACCCGGCTTGCTGTAAGGATGGGTGTGAAACACGCGTTCAGTTTCCATCAAAATTATGAAGATAACCTATCAGATCCTATCAGATACTTGGGTATCTTTAGAAACTCGAGGCAGGCTGCACGTTCCCATTTTGGCCTTGGGCCCTTTCACAAGCATTCCAGCTCCCAAATGCATCACCCTGATCCTCCTGACTTCGGCAGAGGATGTCAGCACACGTCAACCATCAAGGGCTTGTCTGAAGGCAAGTCAGAAACGCTTGAGAACTTGAGACCCATCACGCAATCTTCCCACCCCCAACCCAAAAGGGCTTACAAGTCCATTGCCATTATCATTGTATTGCCCCCTTGGAAATCTTCACCATTTTCACCAAGTGTCTCATCTGATTTCCAGCAACTGCTCCCAGGCATCATTTCTCCCCGCGCTCCAAGCGCTCCAAGCGGTCGCAGGGCGCGGTGCCGGGCGGCGGCTTTTCGCCGCAGCAGCTGGCGTTGCTTGGCTGGTCACTGGCGCGCATGGGCGGCAAGGACGAGCTGAAGCTGCTGGTGGAGGCGCATCCGTGGGGTGTACCATGGCGGGTGCTTCCCGAGCGCCCAAAGGGTTGCCATGGTTTGCTAGTCTTATGGTTGGCAAAGGGCAACAATGGGGATTTCTAGCATGGCTTTTCTTGAGATTTGGTGGCCGCCGGAGCTAAGATGGGGTCATGCATCCCCCGGATGTGCGGGATCCGGTATGTGTTTGCTTTCATGACCATGATACAAGCCAGTAATAATTAAATACATGGGATAATTCCCAGTTATGTACAGATGATCTTCCAGTTACCAGCTGGGATGCGCGGCCTCGGAGTCAGTGCCAGAAAGTGGCTTAAGATGTTTAAGGGAATGTTACTGGTTTCACCACTAGAGGATTCCCTGTCGTTGGTTGTAAAGACCATGCTTTCGTTCAATTTCAATTCACATCAACCCACTGACACGGAGAGCCAGGGTGAATTTAGAACAGTTCAACAAGGGATGACTGGCCCCACATGGTGAGATTCCACCCACCTTTGGAGAAAATGTGTCTGACGCCAGTGGTCGGAGCTCCTTTCACACCACACCTGCTTCGGGTGAACATCGTTAAACCATGTCCAGCAGCGAAAAATTCTATGGGTCTCAGTCTCGGTATTACCTTTACCCTCTGGTAATTTAACATAACTATGGAAAATCACCATTTTTAATGGGTAAATCCACTATAAATGGCCATTTTCAATAGCTATTTTGACATAACCAGAGGGTACCATTAATTTCCCCCCCGACTTCCGACTTCTCCAGCTCCAGGCGGTGCTTCCAAGGCTCTCCGAGCTCTCCCCGAGGGACGTGACGGATGTGGTGTGGGTGACTGGGCCATGTCAAGTTGCTGGAGTCATCAGTTGAATTGGGGAGGTACCATGAATGGTATTGTGGATGTTTGATGATGTTTGTTCCATGGTTAACTTGGACGATAATCCTAACTTGACTCCAAAAAAGTTCTTTTAGGATTGAATCCAACTACCTCTGTACCATTCACACGCGCATTTTTTTGTGACGCTTCAGGCACTCGGCCATGCTGGGGTGCGACATGATGAGTTCCTGCAGAAAGCTGGCAGCTATGCTTCTTCCCATCAAGCGGACTTCGGCACCCAAGAGATGTTTCCGGGCAGCGGCTGGTGGATCTAGATGGATGGATAGAAAAATAAACTAACAGATGACACACAGAGAAATCAAATCAAAGCACAGAAACACATAGAACAATGAAGAAAAACACCATGGCTGTTAGACGCACTACATCTACTACCCTCTGGTAATTTAACATAGCTATTGAAAATCACAATTTTTAATGGGAAAATCCACTATTAGTGGTCATTTTCAATAGCTACGTTAAATTACCAGAGGGTACATCTACTGATCATCATACCATCTTCCACCTGCCCTGGCCCGGCCCAGGTTGCGTTTCCTGGGCGCCTTTCGACGCGCGGGTGGAGAAGGACAGCTGCTGGCAGAGATGGCCTCGAAGCAGCAACAGCTGCACTACGACTTCCCAGCGCTGCAGTTGGAGGTTTATTGTCGATTCAAGATGATACCCTCTGGTTATGTCAAAATAGCTATTGAAAGTGGCCATTTATAGTGAGTTTTCCCATTGAAAATGGTGATTTTCCATAGTTATGTTAGTTTATCAGATGATAAAACCATCTAAAACCACCCATTTTGATGGCACCGGAGGTTCTTCCACTCCCCCGGCTGCGGCTTTTTCGCTGCCAGGTGAAGCTGAACGCCGAGATGCCGGGGCAGCAGCACCATCGCCGGCGCCGCGTGCGCGCCAGCGCGCTGCGGGAGAGCGAGGAGTTGGGGGGCGATCCTCAACGTGCTGATGGTGGAACCACAGGAGGGGAGACCAGCTGGTGATTTAACAAAGTTTTTACTGGAAAAGTATCATTTCTAATAAGTCACTTTAGTAAAACCATTGGAAATCATTTTTTAATGGGTAATTTTTTGGGAGCCGATTGTTGATACTTGTGTTGATGGTTTAAGCAATGGGTGGAGCTATTGGAGTTTGGTGATCAAGTCAGTTTAGATGGGCTTGGGGCCTGTTGGTTAACAGGCTGTGTGGTGGACACGTTGTGAAATTTGGCTTTCAGGAACTGTTATGATTAGCTCTAAATCATTTGTCGAAAGTGCAGTTCTTATGAGCCATTTCAGAATTTAAGAAGCATTGGGAAGAGAAAAAAACACATTTCATTCTAGCTCTGATGTTCCCCATATTCCATAATTTCACCACAATTTTCTCCAAAAAACACATCTTTCATTTTTTTAAATCCAATATTCCCACTATTTCCTCTAATTTCCCAGATTTTCCCATCAAAAAAACTTTGACATGTCCAGCCCTGCTCACTCTGGCAATCAAACATGGCAAGCTGGAAGCTCACCAAACATGGCATGGAGGTAACTGGAGGTTTACAGCTCACAGGTGACGTTTCCAGCAAGCCATGGACCTGACAGCAGAGGTATGTTCCATGATATTCTGGGACTCTCATGGGAAGATTCCATAAGCAACAATGTCATGGGAAGATATTATTATATAATGGTCATGATATTCCACAGGATATTCAAAATCATGTCATGGTCATGGGTAATCACTATAACCATAACATTCTATTATAGTTATTACCCATGACCATGACATTACTATGACTATAACCATGGGTAATCACGATATTCAAAATATGATAACATTTTTTTCCCCACGATATTTGCACATTCTATGGTGGGAAGATGATATTCCCACCATCTTCCCATGGATTTTCCCATGGATTTTCCCACTCTCCAGGTGTGGCGCTCTGGGAGGCCTCCTTCGTCCTGGCCGAGTGGCTCTCGCGGCACGGGGACACTCTCGGCCTGGCAGCCTCAAGGGCCTTCCAGGCCTGGGAAATCCCAATGTTCTGTGGGAAAATGCTGGAAGAAATGGTGGAAAAAATGCAGAGAAAGTGTGGGATATTAATTCTTAAAATACTTTTTATATATCTAGAAATACTGTTTTTTGTGTGCGTGTGATGTTGGCATGAATTGATTTGGATTGAGAGAGCAAAAACATGGATAACTCTTAGACGGAATCTTGGGGGTAACTACGGTAAGTGGCTACTAACTATGGCTGACTTCCACGTTTACTATGTGAAACCAACAAGGAAGTGGGATGCACATGTGAAGTAAGGATTGGCTGCCACTTCCTTTGCAGAAACGTTTTTTACCACAGAATACAGTGGGTCCCCCACTTTTGAGCTGCTTTACAGACCAATCCAGCTGTAGATGTATCCCCGTGTATCCCCCATAAACCCTGAAAGACAGTTTACAATTCGTGTAATTGCAAGCTAGCTTTTTTAGGCCCATTGCCACTTTGATATTTCTAAACCATAGTTTAATTAACTATAGACTACGCATTACTTTCTAATTTCTAATCTTGGTTGGTTTTCATCAATTTTCTCTGATTTCATCTCCTATATAACTGTTAGGGTCTTCTTATATATTGACAAACCACAACCATCATTAGATCCTTCGAAGCCACAACCAAAACCATAACTACACCACAACCAATGATCAACCAATGATGGATGTGCATCCCACTTAGTTAGTGGACTGACACTGATTATATATATTATATGCCATATCAATCAGTGGAGATATCCTGTCAATCGGTGGGATATACCATGGTTGTTAACTGCGTCAGGAGTTGACGAAGGACTCCCCAAAAACGGCGCGCCTCGGCCCAAACAAAGTCGTGGTCAGCGGTCAGCAGGGTGTTTTCGAACGCTGCCGTTGGAGGCGAGCTGATTGTTGCATAAAAGATACTGTAGGTTTCACCTCACCAAGATCATCAACATGGGATATGTTTTGATCACACATGAATTTCCATATCTATGTCATTATATATGATGTATGATATATATATATATCTATATGATATCTGATATCTATATCTCTATCTCTATATGTACTTCCGTCTCGGGGGTTAAGATGTCGTTCATTTAGATTGCCCTATAGTGTGTCGGCTTCAGCTGTAGATGTTTTGCCCCACGTGTCAAAACTTCGTGGGCAATCCCTGCGCTGCTTGCCGTACGGTGTGTCGCATCCGCTTCTTGCTGGAGCGTGCCCGGATCCCGCTGACTAAGGAGGCTGAGGTGGTCACCGCGCTTCGGAACGTGGTGGGGCTGCTTGGGGACCTAGCTGAGCAGTTCGGCTTCCGTGATCCTCCTCCTGTGCAGCCACCTCGGGAGCCTGCAGCTCCTGGCGGGGAGCCGGTGCCCCTGGATAAGACTCCAGTGGAAGAGAAGAAAGGTGCGGCAACAAAGTCTCCTGAGGCCCCAAGAAAGGAGTTGTCCAAGAAGGAGAAGAAGAGGGCAAAAAGAGAGGCAGGTAAAGAAACGAGGAGCCCAAAGATCGAGGACCCGGGAGCAGAGGAGGCTCCTGTGACTGAGGAGGTAGAGAGGCGAGCACCTGGAGCGGAGGAATCATCTTCGCCAATCATTGCAGGACGAACCCGAGAGGATTTACAGGAAGAAGTAGACAACTACGCTCGAGCTCACCCGGGCTCTTTTGGACTGGGAAGCATCCCAGTTCGAGGATCAGCTGGTCGTCATTTCCCGCAAGGAGAAGTCAGTAGGGGAAGTGAGAGGCCCCCAGAACCGGAGGGACCTCCCCCTGAGAGGAGTGAGAGACCCGCAGAGGAGAGGAGAGAGCGACCGAGGGAGCGTTCCCGGTCGAAGAAGAAGAAGTCCAAGGGAGAAGCCCATCGCCAGAGAGGAAGAGATTTCTGGCGCAGGGGGCCTCGGCGGTAACAATGGCGCCCAAGAGGGCAAAGGCGAAACCTCGGCCTGGCCGAGCAGGAGCGATGATGAGACCCCCACCCGTGGGAGACGGAAGAGTGAGGGCAGGCCTCAGGAGGCCAGCGGGAGTAGAAGCTCCTGGAGAGGACGACACCAGAGCGAAATGGGAGAGAGGAGAGAAGGTAGAACTCCATCAGTTGGGGTGTGCTTCACTGGTCGGGGCAGGGCCGCTGGTGGTGGAGGATGGCAGCTACTTCCACCACCCTTGCAGAGTGGCGGGGCGCTGCCTGGGAGTCAACTTCGACGGGGGTCGGAGCTACCTTCGCCTGCGCCTGAGCGGCACCCTGTCGGAGCAGTTACTGAAGTACTGCACCGGCCAGCCCGACGAGGAAGTGCGGGGGCATGTATGCCCCTTGGACTGCAATCGAGAAGAGGCCGCAGACGACTTGATCCACATCAAGACCATCCGACAGATGAAGCGCATCGAAGAGGAAGAAGCGTGGGTGCAGAATCTGGAGAAGGTTCAACCCATGGAAAGAAGGGACGAGTTAGGAGATCTGAGGAGAGAGATGAACGCAAGAGAGGCCGCAGTAGAGCAGAAGGACAAGAAGGATCGAAAAGAAAGGAAGAGCAGTCCGCGAGGAGACCAGAAGGTTTCAAAGAAAGAAAAGAAGAAGGAGAAAAAGAAGAGGAAGAAAGAGTCGGCCGAGAGCATTGCTTCCGGCTCGGAGGACAAGGCCAAGACCGATGGGAGTCAGGCCAAGAGAGCCTCAATAAAAAAGAGTCAGGCCCTCTTCGAGGGCACTGGCCTGGACAGCAGGGAGAAGGTGCGCAGTCGTGTTGCGCGGTTGGCCCGAAGGAAGATGAAAAAGAAGTCCGAGAAGAGCAGCTCAAGCTCCAGCGGCAGCGCCGATTCGAGCAACAGCAGGCATGGGACCAGCGGAGCAGAGGAGAGCTTGTTCGATCCAGCTTCAAAGGTCCAAATGCTGGCCGAGCAGTTCCCTGGGGCCTTGACATGCCAGGCCATGGCGCAGATGCGCCAGGGCCTGCTCCAAGAAATTGGCCATCAAGACAAGCCGAACACGTTGAACCCAGTAGCGGTCTCCTACTGCAGGCAGAATCTGATGAGGCGAGCCTCCGGACCGGTGCAACGAGAGTTATTGACCCTGAGTCACTCTCTCGATATGGTCCTGAGGGGGCGGGCGGCATCAGCAGCCGACACGCTCACCCAGAGAATCAAGTCCATCGAACATACGATCCTTGGATCGCATTGGACAGTCTCTCAACGCCTGGAGGTATTACCACAAGATACCATGAGCATCACCGGACTCCCGGAAGCGAAGGCAGCCCAACGAGAGGTCTACGGCGAGAGCAGGCTGAGGTGGCTGTCGGCAGGGCACGAGGGCCGGCAGCCGAGCAAGGGAGGCAAAGGAGGAGGCAAAGGAAAGGGCGAGACCAGGGAGACCGGAGGGAAGAACCAGGAAGGGAAAGGAGGCAAGAAGAGTGGGGGAAAAGGAGAAGCCCCGAAGAAGAAGGAATCATGAGGCTGATAGAGGAGGCAGCGGAGTCTGCGAGGGGTGCAACCCTTGACCGGACGGAAGAAGAGGATGATGCGAAGAGGAGAAAAACGGGAGTTGCAACTCCTGACAAGATCTATGAGGCCGGCGCTGGACCTCTGAAAGGAAGCTATGAGGGAGGAACGGCATTGGCCTCCCCTTCCAGAGCCAACTACAGCGCTGGCCTGCAGCTGCAGAACGCGCCGCTGGTAAGTGGTGGGCAGCCGCAATCTCTGCATGTGGCACAGCTTTCGTCTATGGAAGATCGAATTAGTTCTACGATGCTGGAGCTTGGTGGGCCGACCGGCCCTGGCGACTCTCCTTTCGCGGGTGGCGCGAAGACGACGCCCGACCTGAGCCGCTCCAGAAAAAATGACGTGTTTCAGAGCCTTGTTGGGGAAACTTTGGGGTCTTGTGGGAAACTTTTACTCCAGGCACTCCTGGAGGTGTTGCCACTTCGCAGCCAGCCCACGGGTAAGGGAACTAGCCGGTCAATGTTTCCTTTGCCTACTTCTAGGGGTGTACTGGAGATTTTATTCCCTGACATGAAGGATGAGGTGTTGGATTGGTTACGTTGTATCTGCCTTTCACTCAACTCTGTTTGGGGTGGCGATATTGTTTGTGAACAAGGGGTCAACGAATGTCAGAAGAACTGTCTCTTCGAATTGGCCAAACAGGCCGATCGGTTTTGTGATTTGACTGTTCGGTTTGAGCATTTTGATTGGGACGAACTGTTCAAGATTAAGTCTGTTGACTACCAGGGGGAGGAAGTAAAGGTGGCACGGTGGTTCACATGGAATAATGTCCAACCAGCCCTACCGCGTGAGATCGGCAAAGTGCCTCTCATGGACGTGTGCGAGCTGGGGTGTAGACATTACGTGGAACACTTCGAAGCATACCTGAAGCCTGAATCAGAATGGATTATATCGAAAGCTCCGCGAGTGATGGTCGATGATGCGCATTGGGGTCGTGTTTGCACTGGCTTAGTTGAAACGGGAGTCTGTTGCTTCTTGGAGGAGCACGAGATTTTTGAGGTGAATGGGGGTCCGCTCCTAAACGGTTTGTTTGGGGTGACCAAAGATGAAGTAACATCCGAGGGAGTGGAGATCTTCAGACTCATAATGAATCTCATTCCCTTGAACAACCTGTGCAAGCCACTTACGGGAGACGTTGATACTCTTCCCTCCTGGGGGTCCATGAGTCCGTTCTTCATGCAGCCCAGTGAGCAGCTCCTAGTGAGTTCGGAAGATGTCAAATGTTTCTTTTACACTATGAGGGTACCTGACTCATGGGTGAAATTTCTGGCATTCAACAAGAGGGTACCGGACTCAGCCCTGCCATCAGAGTTGAAAGGACGACCGTGCTATGTTGCTTCAAGGGTCTTGCCCATGGGCTTCTTAAACAGTGTCAGCTTGGCCCAGCACGTCCACCGTAACTTGGTGAGCTGGAGCCATAGTAGCAGCGACTTGCAAGGCCCCTCGGGAGTGAATGCTCCTGAACAGGAGCTGCGCAAGGATCGCCCTTTCACTGTAGCCAACCCTGCCTGGCGAATTTACTTGGACAACTATGATCTTTTGGAGCGAGTGGAAGCCACGAGCATGGTCGACCTGGAGGGTACTGTAGCACCAGGAGTGCTTGCCCTGCGCCAGGAGTACGCCCGATGGGATGTCCCCCGAAACATCAAGAAATCGGTGAGCAGGTCTTCCAAGTGTGAGGTGCAAGGGGCTACCATCGACGGCGTGAAAGGATTGGCATACCCAAGGGAAGGAAAGCTGAACAAGTACTTCGCCCTAGCATTTCAACTTGCTAGCCTGGACTGGGCTCGACAAAAGCAGTGGCAAGTGGCCTGCGGGGGTTTAGTGTACTTCAGCATGTTCAGACGACCCCTCCTGGGCTGTCTCAATCGTGTATGGCAGCACATCCAGGACTTTGAGGGGCAGAAAGGCAAGCCATTGCCTACACCTCCCGAGTGTCGTCTGGAACTGTTGAGATTCTTGGGCCTACTACCCCTGGCCAGGATGGATTTTCGATTGGGCATGCATCAACAGGTCACCTGTAGTGACGCGTCTTCGACAGGGGGCGGCTTGTGTGCGAGCGCATCAACCACTTCATTGGGAGCGATGGTGGCGCAAGGTGGCGCATACGAGGCCAGTGGCCTGAACAACATCAGGGAGTAGGCGTCGTGGCGATCGGGCTATTTGACGGGATCGGGGCCCTCCGGGTTGCCCTGGAAGTCCTGGGACTACCAGTCATTGGCTATGTTTCAGTAGAAAAGCATGAGCCCGCTCGAAGGGTGGTGGAATCCCACTATCCAGGGGTCCTGCATTACCCTGATGTTCAGGCCATCGCGGAGGAGGATGTTCAGGAATGGGCTACTAAGTTCTCCTCGGCCAGCCTCATAGTGATTGGAGCTGGGCCGCCGTGCCAAGGCGTCAGCGGTTTGAACAGTGACCGCCGTGGAGCGCTCCGGGATGAGCGCTCCTGCCTCTTCGTTGAAGTCCCTCGGATCCGGGAGTTGGTCAAACAACATTTTGTGTGGTGCCCGACTTACGTCCTCATGGAGTCAGTGGCCTCCATGGATAAGCAAGACAGAGATCAGATGTCCAATGGGATTGGGTGCCAGCCAGTTCGGTGTGACGCTGGTGACCTTACCTGGTGCCACCGCCCTCGGCTCTATTGGTGCGATTGGGAGCTGCGCGAGGGGCCCGGGGCCCACGTGGAACCGGGAGACGGTGGATCTCCTGGAGTTCTACGACTAGAGGGGAATCAGCCAATTGACCAAATCATCCGGCAAGGGTGGCTGAAGGTGAACCCTAGCAAGCCCTTTCCTACTTTCACAACTTCACGGCCACGGTCGACTCCTGGGCGTAAGCCCGCGGGAGTTCAGCAATGCTCCTGGGATGATCTGCAGCGGTGGGAGGCTGACTGGTACCGGTTTCCGCCCTACCAATACTGCCAAGAGAATTGTCTAGTCAATCGCCAAAACCTTCTTCGCTTACCCGATGTCTCAGAGCGTGAGGTGATGCTGGGCTTCCCCCTGCACTACACCGCTGGATGTTTTCCCAAAGGTAAGCGGAATGAGGACAGTTACAGTGATTGTCGCCTGACGTTGCTAGGCAATTCCTGGAGTGTTCCAGTGGTTGCGGTTCTCCTGAATCAGCTTATGTCACTGCTGGGGATTATGAGTTACTGGACGCCTCAGGAGGTGGTCGATGAGCTGGCACCGGGGAATTCCCTGACAGCCCAGGGGCGCCTGGTCAGGCTCCCGCTCAATCCAACCCCCACCACAGGGGCGGACGCCTCGCAGACCTTGGCTGAACGCCTCGGTAACCTCATCTCGACCAAGGGTGAAGATATAATGCTGAGTACCCCCACGACACAAATGGTCAAGTTCCACAGACTCAGGTCAACTGTGCCAGGGAAATGCTGGCGCTGGCGTGTCATTGCGGGATGGCGTTGGACACGTTCCAACGAGCACATCAACAGCTTGGAGCTGCGGGCGATCCTTACCTCCATGAGGTGGCGCCTGGAACATGCTGGGCATCACTCCACCCGCCTGATACATTTGACAGACAGTCTAGTGTGCCTCCACGCTCTGACCAGAGGCCGGACCAGCTCACGCAAACTTCGCAGGACAATAGCTCGCATCAACGCCCTCATCCTGGCAGCCAATGTTCAACCCCTTTGGGGTTATATACATACGCATCAGAACCCGGCAGATAAGCCCAGTCGATGGGGCCGCCGGGTGAGAACAAAGTTTCGCCATGCCAAAGCGTAAGCTACTAGAGGCAGCAACTGCCAGTGACAGGGCTAAGATGCGACGTGAGCTAGGTACTCTTCGGAACTTGACAGTGCAGCCAGCCACCAAACGTAGGTACGATCGTGCCAGTGAGGCCTTCTTTGACTTTCTGAGATCTGAGAAATTGGAGTTACCCACACGTAAGGATCAGCTTGATCCCCTAGTATGCGATTATGTAGAGCACCTTTGGTCTACTGGCGTTGGTAGAGGACAAGCCAACGATACCGTAGCTGCTTTGCAGAATCTCCAACCCAACCTGCGAGGCCAACTTCCGGGCGCGTGGCGCCTGTTGAAAACTTGGGCTGTGAATGAGATCCCAAATCGTGCCGCCCCTACCAGAGCAGGTAGTCCACTCTATGGCTGGATGGGCTTTTTTCAAGGGGCATTACTCATTTGGTGTTTCTCTTTTGTTGGGTTTCTATACGATGTTGAGATCCGGTGAGATTCTTGCCCTGGACTCCTCACATATTATGTGCTCGGCCAAAGAAAAACAGGCCCTGATCTCCTTAGGCTTGACCAAAGGGGGCAAGCGCCAGGGGGCTGCTGAAAGTGTGATTCTGGGTGTAGAGCCTGCTTTTCGTCTTGTGACACGATGGAAGCACGTGGCTGGAACATACTCACCCTTGGTTTTTTCAACCGCCAAGTGGCGTACCCTTTTCTCAGACAGCCTGGAGGCTCTAGGGCTCTCAGATTTCGGGTTTAGACCGTACTCTCTTAGAAGGGGCGGTGCTACATTTTGGTTTCAAAGGCACGGGAACCTTGACAAGATCCTTGTACAGGGGCGCTGGCTCGCCCAAAAAACAGCAAGGATTTACATTAATGAAGGCTTAGCTATGCTGGCCAAAACTCGGATCAATTGCAATGAGCCTGCCATCCTTTCTTTCATGAATATTTACCATCTCGCAGTGAAACGCTGTGATTTCTCCACACTTGAGCCTCCGGTCCAGACCGGAAGGACTGGGGGACGTGGAATAGGACCCAAAAGACAGGTGACGAAGGCAATGAAGCGTGTTCAAAAAATGCGCATTTCAAATGTTTAGGGTTAATTATCATTTCCGTATGACGGACTGCTAGAAGGTGTGGCTCGGCAGTGCTGTCAACTGGGAAGAGTTCTTTCTTTCTCCACTTTGGGTGTGGCCAGGTGGTTGAAGGGAGCTCGCGGAGGGATTTCTGCTGATAATTAACCCTGTTCCTTTTGGTATGTGTTTACCATATTTTGACAAACTTGCTGCGAAGTGGGCAAAAGAAATGCTGAGACATCTTTGTACTTCCGTCTCGGGGGTTAAGATGTCGTTCATTTAGATTGCCCTATAGTGTGTCGGCTTCAGCTCCCAAACCCGCCCTGCCCGGGAGTTCTAGGACTCCTGAAAGACAGGTGACGAAGGCAATGAAGCGTGTTCAAAAAATGCGCATTTCAAATGTTTAGGGTTAATTATCATTTCCGTATGACGGACTGCTAGAAGGTGTGGCTCGGCAGTGCTGTCAACTGGGAAGAGTTCTTTCTTTCTCCACTTTGGGTGTGGCCAGGTGGTTGAAGGGAGCTCGCGGAGGGATTTCTGCTGATAATTAACCCTGTTCCTTTTGGTATGTGTTTACCATATTTTGACAAACTTGCTGCGAAGTGGGCAAAAGAAATGCTGAGACATCTTTATATATATATATATCTATCTCTATATATCTCTATCTCTATATATTTATCTCTACATATACCCTTTACCTATATCTACTATTACTATATCTACATCCATATTCATATCTATACCTATATATATATATATTCATTTATATGTACTATATATATATATGCCAATATATATATATATGCCAATATATATATATGCACACACACACACGTATGTATAGATATATATTTATACACATGTATTGCATATATCATATATCTAGTTTAGATGAGTTTAGTATCCTCAAAATCCATCAAACATCCGATATCTTCAGGAAGCGTTGGCGCTGGGCCAAGAAGCGCGGCGTGGAGCTGGGTGCAGGGCTGGGGCTGCCTGCCATCGTGGCTGCGCGCTTAGGCTCGGAGGTGGTGGCCACAGCGGCTTGTCAGTTAAAGTTTAAAGAACGAATCGTGGAGGCTTGGCATTGGGTTTTATCAAATTAATGTAGATCAAATTGCAAGGTGCACACACACACAGACGTGTATACATATATATATACATACATACATACATATATATATACACATGATACGCATATCATATATACAAGGCGTGATGGGCATTGTTTATTTATCAAAAAATGTGTTCTGCATGGAACTTATATTCTTGGGTCATGTCATTTGTTGACCTTTCAGATTTTCACCCAAGTCCCGGCTCTCTCGCATGGCAGCTGAACCAAGGATGGAGATGCCTGCGTCATGAAGCTCCTGCGCCGCAATGTGAAGGACAATGGAGGTGCGCGGCTGTCGCTCGGGATACACCATAAACGTGCACTACAAAGGGAAATGGCTTGATACAATATACATCAATATACCAAAAACTTGAAGGAGGCTTGTTGGTAGATGTTGGTACTCCATTTTAGGGTGTAGGTCATACGGATGTATGGATTGGTAAGTGGCTTGAGATCTCACGGCAGGCTTCTGCGAATTTTTGACGTGCTATCCAGATGAAGCTGCACTTCAAATCTACATATGCCAATCGCGAATCTGGACTTTGGATATGTCCATCCCACTTTTCCACAAGTTGTTTTTTTTTGGCTTAATTCCCTGGAAACTCCCACATTTAGCATATTCCGGCTGTTGAAAACCATGGTTTCCCATCATTTTTACCATGAAATCAGTTCATTCACACTTGCCTGGTGCTCCTTCCACAGGTGCAAACCTCAGGGCCGAGGCTTTGCTTTGGGGAAGCTTGGGCCGGTGGAGGTTGGAGTGGCACAAACTATTGGGGTATTCGTATTGTGGATGGTGTCAACCATGGCCAATTCATGCCAATTCAGGGCTTGACAGATTTCGATTTGTCGGATTTTGTCGTTCTGTTCATTTTTTTCCCTGAATCTCTTAACACCGAGGCATGAGATTTTGACATGTTTTAAAAGTTTAATTCCTGCTACTTGCTGGCTTTGGGATGAAGATTCACTAAACCATTGGGGTGCACCAGGCTTTGCAGGTCGCTGGCTGGGGCCATCCCCGTTTGAAGTATGGGTTGTACGAAACTGCTTTTGCTGACCGGTGAATGCATATGGCATATGGGGTGAGTATGATATTGAGCACAAGGCAGACTCTTGAAGCCCGTAAAATCTCAAACTCATGACCCCAAAATTGAAGAACTTGCTGAAAGGAGTGGCTCTTCCCTCCCCACCCACTAGTTACATGGGGAACGCCGAACGATCCATGGATCATTGACCCAAGGAGCTGAAGATCCACTGGGAAAGCTGGGCCTATCGAGCCCTGTGGACTTTCTGCTGGCAGCAGATGTGAGGGGAACCCAGCGAAGGGAACAATTTTGGGTGACGGGCTGACGGGCTTGGCAAGCACCAGACTAACCCTTGTGCGTGAGGGCGATCTGTGTGAAGGAATTGTTGCCTCATCTGCAAAGTGCAAAGTTGGATATGCAAATTTTTGCAGCCAAGACACATATAAATCAACTAAACATCAGGAAAACTACCATCCCAGCTGCTCCCAGCCCTGCCCATCTGCCGCCCCAACCCCAACCACACTGCTGCAGGTCGTCTACGCCAGTGCCAAGGAGGCGCTCAACAAGCAGCTTTTGGAGACCATGCTGAAGCTCACGCATCCGGACTCTGTGCGCTGTCGGCAGAGGGTGACGGTCGTGGTTGTTGTTTTGGGTGTGAGTGAAAAGGCGCTGATAGGAAAGGGTTTCTGTGAATGATGATGATGATGATGAGGAGGAAGAGGAGGAGGAATACTGGGCAGCTTTGGCAGTAGCTGCATCGTCATCGTTATCTCAGCTCAAAATCATTGATCATGGACAGCTTGAACGGCTGGCTTAGCACCCAAACTGATCCAAAATTGGATGCTGGCATCTTGTAGTCCCACTTAGGTCGTCATGTGCCCCACAGTGTCCCACTGCCTCTCGAGGTGGTGATTCTCAGCAACGTGCGGCGCTTCCATGAGAGCCACAAGGGCGAGGGCCGCTTCCTGGCCGAGGCGGACAAGCTCTTCTGGCGCTGCAGCGTGCAGCAGACGGAACTGCATGTGGTACCTCTGCCGCGCCGGCGAGGTATCATGGGATGTTTGATGAAGATTTCAAAACATGGTAAGGTTGGGGGGGGGCGTGAGTTTTGGGTCCCATGCTCGTATCGTTGTTTGGCGCGTTTCATGATTTATTGACACTTGTGCAAGATAAATCACAACAAATCTATACAATCTCATAAGTCGTATGGGCATGGGTCATTTCAGCCGGGTATGTTGCTTTTCTCATCCCAAAAGTGTTGCCAGATTGATCGTCATTTTGGGATGTGTTCATGAAAATCCACTCATCCACAACGGAGGTGGGGTGCCAGGTTGTACACCCTGGAAGGATTTCAACTCAAGACCCCATAATGAAGACACCATACTGCAGCTACTCGAACCAAAAGGGATTTGGAACTACTCAATTCCAACTGGACATTTCCAAAGTTTGAAGTTTTACTTCAATATTAAATTATACGTATAATATTAATGGAGGCTTGGGGCATCACACACACACAATTTCAGCCCTAGGACTTTCAGCGCAGCGGTGTTGGCAGTTGCGTCATCCACCTCCTCCGTCCCTTGTCAGAACTGGATATGCACTCACATACAATACATATTTACACATTACATATACAACCACAATAGCCACAGACATACATATATGTATATATAATATAGTAGAATATATGTATATATAATATGATAGATGTATATGTATATATTTACATTTATATATTATAGTTATACCCGTGTGTGTGCAGGGATAGATCTACAGATTGGAAGATGCATTCTGCACCGTCCCAAGGCCGCCGCAGCGCGCGGTGTGAGCGGAGTGTGCTGAGTGAGCGGCCACAGATGGATCAGGTCCTGGAGATCTCGTGATGATTCGGGTTATATAACCTGGGATATATACAATATATATATATATATATCTATCTATCTGGGGTAAATTATAACGACCTTAATTCAGGGTAGTGAAATATTATAATTTACCCAGACACACACACACACATATATCTCAAGTTGTTTTTCTTCAGGTTATATATATATATATGTATATTACTATATATGGTGAGCCAGAAAAAGCGGACACTGTTGTTTTTGGCTTCAATTTTGGAGGTACAATGTTTTTTTTCCGTTTTTATGTTTGGAGGCCATGAAGCCATCAAAGTTGAAACCAAATCATTTCTGGGCAGCTGGTTGGTGCCCGGGGCAGGTGCAGATCACAGCTGGCACAAAGAAGGTTTCAAGGCCTGGAGGGGAGATTTGCTGCAACTTACCCGACATTTTTTTTTGTTTTTGGTCTCGGAAAATGGGATGAGGATTTCAACACTTCGTTCGGTTCCATGCATCATTTTTGTTGGAGTTCGAAATCGGGTCAGAAACTGTATGTCCTCTCAAAATTGTGGATTTTCTTTTCACATTTTCTGGTGGGAAAGAAACACGAAAAACTGCTGCTTAAAATTTGAAAGAGACCAAAATATATAGGAACCTCCGATAGGAAATACCGTCCGGCCTGGCGGAAGTTGGATCATGAACCATATGTGCTCTGGGCCGAAACATTTTTTCCCTCCCCATAAAAGGGAATGGTCGGAATGGTCATGAATCCATTATAAGGATTTCATTCCCATACCAAACCATCCCAGTTTTGGAATGTGTTTGGGGGACCCAATCGCCGATTTGTCCCGTCACTTTCCAGGTCGAAAAAGAAATCCGCCGTGAAGAGGGCAGCTGTCCCTCCGGTTTCCGGGATGGCCTTGAAAAAGAAGAAACGCTGCTCGTCGAAGAAGTGCCACCGGGTGATTTTCATTCTTTTCAATTTTCAGAATGATGGGTTGTCGCGGTGCTGGATGATCAGGATGATGGCGATGAGGGGATGATGGCGATGCATCCATACCAACCATTGCAGCCAGCTTCAACTGAAAACCACTGAGGCCCACGGCCCGCGCCACCACGCACAGAAGCAGCGCCCAAGATGGAGACAACACCATCAGCGCCCAGAAAGAAAAGAAAATTGAAGGCAGCGTGGCAGACGAAGTGGGCCAGGGGCCCGTAATATCCCGTAGTGACTGCATTTACAACCCATAAATCATGCGCATAGGTGTCAGGGACCCAGTTACATTTTACATTCCCCATGGTTGGAAGTTGAACCCCTTTGAAATGATTGAAATGATCATGATTTTACGCTTGTGAGAAGCAATCCCGATGTCGATGAGTCACCATTTTATAGGAGTAGTATCCCATTCCCAGAATTGGTTGAAGAGAAGCTTTACATGTGGAACACCTTCAAAGACCCATGGCTTCAACTGAGGTCGCCAGGAAAATCAGCGAAGCAACGAAGCCCAGAAAGCGACGACCGAAAAAAGTGACGCCTGGGTCACCTTGGTTCGTCAATGGTAAGTTCGTGTTTTTTCTTGACCATTTTGATAGGAGCACTTTGGAGCAATCAGATGCACCAGCTCCGACTTCACTTTTTTCTATCGACCTGTTCTTGTTTTTCCATTCTCATCCACTCAATGAGGAACAGAAACCCCAGCCGCAAAGTTGGCCCAGCCCCACCTCGAAGCTCCCTCCCTGTCAGGCGGCCGCTTTGCTGAAAGGCGCAGAGGAAGCTGTCGCCAAGCTCAAGGCGAAGGCGCGTCTGGTGGATTTATATAATTTAATTTTGCCCATTGCAGTATCTCCTCTGTTTATGAGCCACACACAGATAGAGAGAGAGAGAGCTATACATTTATATATATATATATATACACAATTTATTGTACACACACACACATATATATATAAATACGATAGTTTGCAGTATATCCGCCATTGCACACACACTGTCTGGTCTGGTCTTGTTTCGTCTCGTCTTGTCTCTCTCTCTCTCTCTCTCTTTGCCTCCCTCTCTATGTACCCTGTAGGTGACAGAGCTGCGACATGGCCGGGCGGCTGAGGAAAACCCGGAAAACAAGCGCAGGGTTGCCACATCTTGCCACTTTTCCACCCAAAGTCAACGGCACCCATGGCGATATCCATGGATTTCTGGCCCAATTTTTGGATTTTTTAAGGCGTCCAAGAAGATCTGAAGATCTGGTGCTTGGGTGAGAGCAAGTTCATGGACGGGGTATGGCAGGGTGACCTGAGGCTATGACTATTGGGCTTTTCAGCAGTAATGAGTTTGGCTTAAGCATGGAATGGCCTGTTGCAACCTGATGCGCTGAGCCAATTCAAGTCAGGTACCAACTCAGTTGGTTTGGACAAACTCCTAATCTGTATGTTTTTTCATTGTGAATCGCACACACACTGGGGTGATTTAAGGGGAGGCATATGCGTGGGGCACTGGCTCACCCCTGCTGTCAACTGGTATATCATTCTGGCGGTGGATGTTAAAGTCATCACTGCGCGATTTCCGATGATTTTACCATAACTCGCTTAACAAGGAACATATGACATCATAATTGATATATCATAATCATAATATGACCCCATTGAATATATAGTCCGTAACTGTCAGTAAGAACTTCCAGTACTAAACATCACTGTTCTCATTCCAGCAAGTTATCAGTAAAAAAACAACTCTAGTAACAATAATTCACAGCTATAGTAACAAACATAAGAATGTCCTATAGTTAAGTTATTGTCCGATAGGTATTACTGTAAATCATAATAACTCACAACTATAGTAACAAACATAACAATGAAACTGTAATAGTAAGTTTACTATAGTCATAACCTCTCTATTTACTATAGTTATAGTTATTGTCCTATAGTTATTAAATCATATATAACTATAGTAACTGTCGGAACAACGAGACGCACAGGACTTCAAGATCCAGGGCTTCGAGCGTCGCATGGCGGGCCTCGGAAGAAGGCGAAGAAAGACAGAAGTTCGACCAGAAACGGCCCCACTGTTGATGGATAATAATAATAGTGGATTAATAATGGTTTAATAATATTATTATAATCCATTCTTATAATCCATCATTAAGTTTAATGTTATTGATTGTAATAATAATAATGGTTTAATAGTGGATTAATAATAATGGTCTAATAATATTGATGGCGGCCCCATATACTGTAATAATAACGATAGTAAACATTTACAAAGATAATAATGGACTATAGTGGATTATAGTTATAGTCATAGTAATAGCGGATTAGATTAAAACCCCAGGGGTTGTGAGAATTATGATTTAGTGATAATGGACTAATAACAATAATGGATTATGATTATCATAATGGATCAAAACCCTTGAAGGAGTTCATCCATGGGTAGTTTCATGGATTTTCATACCCCGGGAACCCCTATGAAACATGTGACATCTTCAGTAGCCAATTGAAAACAGCCCATGATAGTTGTCACTTGATAACCCGGACGTCGGCCAAGAACAGTCAGAACAGTGAAACATCATCACAACATATCTAACACATTCTAAGTAGTAGGATGTAGACTGAGGATTCTTAGGGCTTTAGCTTTATAGGGTGTATAGGTCCCTATATCTGACACATCCTTAAGGGATTCCACATATCTAACACATCCACAGGGTCCCTGACTTTTCTATTTTTTCTTAGGGCTTTGACTGTGGAAATCTCCAACGGACACCAGGCAGACTCAGCTGGAGATGGGCGTGAAGGCGAAGGTGCGGATGGGGGATATGAATTGTCATGGGCATGTTATGGTAACTAAGACTATGGTTATAATCTATGGCTTATTAGATTATTCTATAACCATTAGATTATTATTAAGATTATTAGATTATGCTCTGACTTATTTCTTTTTCACCAATCTATGGGCATTTGATAGACTATCGGGTGGTCAGGAAGGCGGTTTGGAGTTATGGGTATCCACATTCCCAACCAGATCCTAGAAATCATCCAAAAATCATTTGAGAATGGGGTTCCCCATGTTCTAAGCCACTGAGTCACTGGATTTTGGGGTCCCTATTTTTGGACATCACATGAAGTCCACAACGGATGGCGCTGGCGCATGGCATCAGCAGGCTAAAAAGGCCCCCAGCCCCCAGCCCGGTAGCGGATTTGGCAGGAAACACGGGAAGTGGACACCTGTGAGAAGAAAGTCCTTGCCGGGTGACCTGATGTTGCCACCAACGATTGGGAGTTGCACTGAGACCAGGAAGACGGATCCATGACCAGATGCCTCAGGATTATCCCAAGATGCCCATGCTATTTGCTATCCCTGAGGCCATGTTGAAACACCATCAGAAGGCCAAGAGCTTGTGGGCAGCCTCAGCTCATCGATGGTTTTTGTCGAAGATATCAAGGGTATGCCGGGTATGTCCTGGAGTTTGGAATGGAGCCCAGCAACAGTTTCTTGAAACATGGGGGCTTAGAGGTTTTGATGATGATGATGATGACGACGACGACGACGACGATGATGATGATGACGACGACGACGACGATGATGATGACGACGACGACGATAACACGGTATTCAGTTCGCAGATGGTCCCAATTTTATCCAAAAATTTTGTTGTTCCACTGTTTGTCGTTCCACTGCCACCCTTGCAGAAGTTATCCCCCAACTCCCAGGTTTTTTCCTCCGGTAATCAACCATGGCAAGCAGGGGCATCCCCAACATCTCTGGGAAATTCATCGAACTGAATGGAGGAATTTACAGCACACCATGGGACATTCATGGGGTAAACCCAAAAGGAAACCTACCAGGGATGGAAATCAAAGTACTGGATATGAATTGACCATTTTGAATTACCACTCATAATCATTAATGTTGGTTTTTGTTTCTGATTTAAGGTTTTCCATTCATGGAATATTACCATTTACAGGCAATGGCCATTTTATTGGATATGAATGGCCTATTTTCATGGGATATAGATCCCAGCAAGCTCCAGCGTCGCCAGAGTCTGAGGAGCTTGGAGGAGATGTTCAAAGCTGTCTCCAAGGGAGATGAGGAGAAGGTGGAGAAGGCCCCTCTTATGGCTGGTGGTTGCTGGTGGTTGCCGATGGTTGGTGGACCTCATCCCATTTTCCGAAATGCATCAATTGGTAGCCGACTCAAGTGATCCAATACCTAAACCCACCATTCTGTTGGGGGTATTGAATATGGCGGGGAAGGATGAATTAGTTGCGTTTGTTCTCCCTTTTCTTGGGACAATCATTGCACCCATTCACTTTATCGAGGCGACCATGCTGCATGACTTGGGGCTTGTTGAGTGTCGCCTCTGGGACCTGATTTTCCAATTGTGGATAGCTTATAAACTTATTATAGCTGTTCTATTTCCAGTGGTTCCAATCCTGCTTGGGATGCTTCTCCCAACTCGAATTCTACACTTGGGGGGTATCGCCTTGCAACTGCCGAAATTTCCAGCGACTTGGCAGGATGCTTTCTTAAGCTTCTTGACCACCTGTGAGAAGGACCCTGCGAATGGAGGTTTTAGCCTTGCACCACTTTCATCTCCAGATTACTGTAACTGTCAATGATACCAAGGTGAGGGCTTATAAGGCAGACTCACAACTTGTAAGTACACCATATGGTGTGCTTTGGACTTTCCGCTTGTTCAAACATAGGTCAGTTGGATTGACACCTTCTACAAGCATGGCCAGAAGTTCTGTAGAGAAAATGTCGCAGTGGCCAGTTTTGAGACTGGGTTCGTGCAAAATCAAATCTGCTGAGCGGAGCCATGCCAACAAAACCATACAAACACTTGTGAGATGCACGTTTTTTTTTTCCTTAAATAAATCTGCAGATGCAAGCAGAGATGGAGAAAAACTGAGAAGCATCTTAAATCTTCTGATATTAGAATATATGAATATTTATATATATTAGTTATTAGATTACATTCTTCCCTGAAGATCATTTTATACTTCAGGAGGAGGGTGCAGAGACCTTCGGACCCTCAGAGCTGAGCCCGGAGACCCACGGAGTTGATGGATTTTTACAGAAATCCCTGGGAGATTTGGCATGTTTTTGCCTGTTTAATGTCTATAGATGTCTATAGATGTCTATAGTTTATGTTGATATGCTGATGTTTGTTGTTTTTTCCATCACTTTTTCCTCATTTTGTTTTTGAAAGAGGAATTTGGTGTTGAAGAGCAACAGGAGAAATGGTGGAATTGTGACAGGAGGGGATGTTTTTTTTTTTTTTGTTGGCTTTACCGCATGGGATTCATGAACCAGCCGTGTTTTCTTTTCAAAGATTGACATTTTCCAGTAGATCAACATGGTAAAGCCAACAATAAAAACATACAGTAGACATAATGTTGGAGATTAGAGTTTTTTGATGTTCCTGCCAAGGACCTAGGATGATTGTCCTACCTATGACCAAACCATTGGTTGAAGAATTTAGAGATTTCATATGATTTCACCACATTTGATTGCCAAACACAATGGATTTCTTGTAAACCTTCCGTTGAATCAATCTATTGAATCAACTTAGCCCACGTGGCTGCTGGCTTACAACGCATTCGAATGGAATTAACACATGGGACATACAGGAACCACACTTACCATCAACATGTATTCTGAAGCAATTACTTGCATAGAATTGGATGCAGGATGATGCAGGGAACATTTACAGGACCTCTCATTTCAAATGGCGAAAGTCCTTGGGTTTCCTGTCTTAACGATGATCAGGGGGCCATTTCATGAATCTAAATTGGAGATACCTACCATACACCCTCCAAATTTCAGATCGAACCACACAAAAAAATGTCCGACAGATGATTTTCGCATATTTTCCCACTGGTAATTACTGGTGTTTTTATGTGTTTTTCGGGTTCCACATTTTTTCATGTGGCGTTTTGGGTGTTACACTGGCCAACCTTCGAGGCCAAGGGACAGAAAAATCCTCCAAGGCACTTATTTTGATTCGCTGGACTCTGAGAAGGAAGGCTTCATCAGCAAGGCGGGTGGCACCACGATGGCGGCGATTGGGAATTTCATGTTCGAACCCTGGAAGCATGAACACAATGGTGAAACGTGGGCTCCCCGAAATAGTGATGCTTCCAGCTGAAGGTCCTGTAATTTTTGGAAAATTGATTGATGGTAACACCTGGCACAAAACATCGCTCCACCAGGGGGGATGATTTTCCAACAGCGCAGGAGCACACGCTGATGCTCATTCGTACCCTCAAGAAGGCGAGATGCACGCTCACACACACAATCTATTGGAAAAGGCCTATCTTTACAAAGAACCAAATGGGTCCAAATGGTACCCTCTGGTAAACTGACATAACTATGGAAAATCACCATGTTTAATGGGAAAATCCACTTTAAATGGCAATTTTCAATAGCTATTTTGACATAACCAGAGGGTAAGGTTTGGCAGATGACATTTGTTTAAAGCACTGCCAAGCTTCGAAGTTCCCAGGTCGGTGGGTCAGGGCATGCCCATTGGCCTGCCGACCTTTAGGATTGATGGGCAATACATCGAAACAAATATACAGCAGATATAACTATCGATTATATATATATGTGTGTGTGTATGTATGTATATAATATATATATATATATAGATGTTATAGTTCTATCGAACAAACGCGGATTCAGCAACTAATGTGGATTCAGCAACTAATGATTCCACAACTAATATGGTCGGATTCAGCAACTAATATGGTCAGATTCAGCAACTTATCGGATTCAGAAACTAATGAAGTCGGATTCAGAAACTAATTATTCAGAAACAAATGATTCATCAATGCGAAATTGCAGGAACAAATGAGAAAATACATGCATGAGTCATGTCTTAATCCAGCCCTCAGCTGACACATCAACATTGCAACCGTATCTGGCAAATGCATGCATAGTCTTATCAACTTACAAAGCAAACTTGCCACGCCCTCTGGAACATACGTTCATGTTTACAAGAAGACAATTCAAAATTGCCACCCCCTCTGGCAAATACATGCGTATTCTGGTTAACTAACAAAACAAACTTGCCCCCCCTATGAACAACATGTCTCTTTTTCAACCAGAACAATTCAAAATTGCCACCCCCTCTAACACATACATGCATAGTCTTGTTAACAAAGAAAACAAATTTACCGCCCCTCTGAACAACAGGTTAGTTTTTCTACAGAACACTTCAACATTGCCACCTCCTCTGGCAAATACATGCGCATTCTTGTTCACAAAGAAAACAAACTTTCCACCCCTCTGAAAAACACGTTTCTTTGTCCACCAGAACAATTCAAAATTGCCACCCCTTCTGGCAAGTACATGCATAGTCTTGTCAACGAACAAAACAAACTTGCCACCTCTCTGAACAAAACGTTTCTTTTTCCACCAGAACAATTCAAAATTGCCACCCCCTCTGGCAAATACATGCATATTCTTGGTAACTAACAAAACAAACTTGCCACCTCTCTGAACAAAATGTTTCTTTTCCCACCAGAACAATTTAAAATTGCCACCCCCTCTAGTTTTGTTAACAAAGAAAACAAATTTACCACCCCTCTGAAAAACACGTGTCTTTGTCCACCAGAGCAATTCAAAATTGCCACATCCTCTGGCAAATGCATGCATAGTCTTGTCAACGAACAAAACAAACTTGCGACCACCTCTGAAAAACACGTTTCCTGTCCACCAGAACAATTCAAAATTGCCACCCCCCCTGGCAAATGCATGCACAGTCTTGTCAACGAACAAAACAAACTTGCGACCCCCTCTGGACCACAATGTCATGATTAGAAGGCAATTCAAACTTGCCACCTCCGCTGGCAAATAAATGCATATTCTTGCTAACTAGCAAAACATAATTGCCACCCTCTGAAAAACAGGTTCCTTTTTCCACCAGAACAATTCAAAATTGCCACCCCCTCTGGCAAATACATGCATATTCTTGGTAACTAACAAAACAAACTTGCCACCTCTCTGAACAAAATGATTGTTTTCCCACCAGAACAATTTAAAATTGCCGCCCCCTCTGGCAAATACATGCATATTCTTGTTAACTAACAAAACAAACTTGCCACCCCTCTGAACAAAACATTTCTTTTTCAACCAGAACAATTCAAAATTGCCACTCCGTCTGGCAAATACATGCGTAGTCTTGGTAACTAACAAAACATACTTGCGACCTCCTCTGGGCCTGTGCATGTGAGCCCACGTCAAGATTCAAATTGAGGTGCTTCACCACTTGCCCGTTTCATTGCCATTGGGCGCAATAGAGAAGAGAAAAGATCTCATATGTCAAGCGTATCTGGATTCGGACGACACTCCAGCCCCACTGAAGTCGATGAGTGCCAAACTCATCAAAGGCTGGCGTGTGGACAAAGCTTCTGCATAGAACTCACATGCATTTGAGCGGAAAAAGGCATTTGGTGCCGAGGACATGGTGGATCATTAGTTCCTGTCATTAGTTTCCGAATACATCTGTATTAGTTTCAGAATATAAGTTTCCGAATACGGACCCTGAACATTAGTTTCGGAATGCAACTGTATTAGTTGTCGAATATAAGTTTCCGAATACAACTGCATTAGTTTCCGAATATAAGTTTCCGAACACAACTGTATTAGTTTCCGAATATAACTTTCCGAATCAACTGCGTAAGTGTCCGAATACAACCGCGACCTAGTTCTATCTGTTATGTACGCCAGATGTTCCAGCCCCAAGCGGCAGACTACTGGTGTTTACTTTGATTCGAAACCCAGGAGCCACATCTTTGGCTGTCAAAACCACCTGGGTCAGAGGAAGATGTAAATTGCCCTTGATCCTTCTGATGATCCTTTGGCTAAGTGCCAGCCATTCATGTTTGGGGTTGCCTCTTGTGGAATGCATGATCATTGGATGAATCAATACATGGCTAAACGTGGATAAACGTAGCAAACGAAAGGCAGAGAAACGAGTGAATAAACAAGTGTGAATAATATTATTCTGTAAACCATGTTGGTCATTCTTATTTTAGATTTTAGTACATGTTGCTATTTATTCTCATCCCAACCTATTCTCTACATTTTGGTTGGCTGTAAACGTCCCATGCGCTGCTGGAGGTCATTAAGGAGACCACCCTCACTGATGGTCCGGACGTGAGCAGCGCCGCCATCGTGGCCAAATTGGAGGCCGGGGACGTGGCGTGTACCCTGGGAAGGTTGGCAAAAGGGGATACCCTCTGGTAAACTAACATAGCTATAGAAAAATGGCCCATGTATAGTTGATTTACCTATGAAAAGAACGTGATTTTCCAGTTCGCTATGTTAGTTTACCGGAGGGTATAGTCAATGGGATTTACTATGATTTCATAGGATTTTCAAGGGGATTTACTGATTTACTATGATTGCATTGGATTTACCATCTGGTTATCTAACATAGAAATGGTAGAGATGTATTAGATGGCCCATAAAGATGAAATGTGATGATTAACCTATTAAAACTTGTGATTTTCCATAGCTAAATTTAATAACCAGAGGGCCGGTTGAGATTTGTTCCAGTTAGATTGATGGATTATAAACGACTCAAGATTCCTGGGTCCCGGAGCCCAAAAATAAGTGATCTATTTGAACATTAAGGGGCATTGAAGCAGTGTAAAGGGTGATGTGTTATCATTTCCCTCCAAAATTTCCAACCTTGTTTGAAACACAGGAAGGATGAACAGCTGGGGAATTTGAGATGGGACTTGATGAAAGACATAAGCATGATCCAGAACCTACAGAATCCACTTTTGGGGGGGATAGGATCCAGTGGATTTGTCTGAAAAAACCATGGAGCACATGTTATTCTGAGATTTTTGACATTCCACTGGCGATTGGGTGTGATATTGAATGTTGAGTCTGAATGCAAACTGAAGCGAAGAAGGGATACGCATAGTAAAACCAAAGCTAACACTCTTGTTGCTCCTTTTTTGGGGGGGTCTGAGTAGCTTGAAAAGCACCACCTTTTGGAAAAACACATGGCAACCATGTGTTTGCGTGATTTACAGATCGAGATCAAGACCAAAGTTTCACGAGCCAAATCCAAAGCTTGGGCAGCAGCAGAGTGGAGCAATCTTGCCCAGATTTGTCGTGATCCTTTTGCAATGGCAGGTTTAAATATGACTGCGCTTTTGCGGAGTGATGGTCGTGTTTCTGGTGTGCGGACAATATATGGTCAAATTGAATTTCCATCATTGGATGAGGGAGTCTTGTACGCCCAGGTTTCTGCAAGCTTCGGCCTACCATTTGTTGCTCTTCTCCGAAGTGATGGTCGTGTGTTGGCTTGCGGGCACACTGATAGCGGACAGTGCAACATTCCACCGTTGGACGAAGGGGGTGTCCTGCACCCAGGTTTCAGCAGGTGGTGATCACACTGTGCTTCTCCGAAGTGATGGCCGTGTTACAGTGTTGTTGCCTGCGGAACCAATCACTACGGACAATGCAACATTCTGCGTCTGGACACAGGGGGATTTCATCAACAATGATTGAGGATTTTCGCAGCACTAGATACACCCCACAATTGCAAGTTAGATGGCGAACATGATGTCTAATCCTCGGGGCGTTCCCCATCTTCAGACAAACCCGCCTAGCATAGAGAGTAAAAACATCACAGCGACACCCAAATCAACTTCTTACATCCAAGTTGTGATGGTTCTTTGAATAGACAACTTTTTACCATCCTAAATCAGCTATAAATCAGCTATAAATCAGCTATAAATCAGCTATAAATCAGCTATAAATCAGCTATAAATCAGCTATAAATCAGCTATAAACCAGCTATAAATCAGCTATAAACCAGCTATAAATCCCATGAATTCCTCATTTTTTCTTGCTGAAATCACGTGAAATCCCAGGATTTCATGGTTTCTCTCGGGCCATTGGGGGCACCGATTTCGTTTTTTTTTCCCATCCCATTCTGTCCGAGGTCGGTGATGTGGTGGAGCTCCTCAGTGAGCCAAGCGAACAAGGCGGAGCTACCATGGAGTATCATTTATCTTTATATGATACATGTGGATAATATATCAATATCTTCTGCTATGATAATATGATATGATTTATTTTTTTTGGGTGGAAGAATCTACCACAATATTGATCCCTGAGAATCTTAGATCAATAGGGTGATGGGTGAAGGCAAGATGCTGGTGACTTAGATGCTCGATTCATGTCAATTCCTTTTTGGATCAAGTGTTGAAATCCTGAAAAATCCTGAAAACAAACCATGAGACGGCACTTTGCCACTTTCTCCAAGTTTTTTCCCGGCACATGCATGGATCGAACATTGACACCTAGGGACCCATAGATTTCCGTAGCTCATTTGGGTCAAGAACACCTTCCAATGTGTCCCCAATGACTCGACGTGTGATATAAATTGATATGATGATATGATGATATGATGATATTTCTTTTGTTTCATAAATTTTATACACACCAAAGTGTTTGGTTGGCTCAATTCGTCTCAATTCCCATTTTGATTGGTGAAATGATCATTTCCGAGCGTCCCTTCCTGGCTGGTGAGCTTCCTTTGGTTTGTTGAATCCCCATTGTGGTGAATTCAAATCCTGTTCAATCTGCGTTTTCCGAGAAATATAGGAGAATCAACAATCTTAAACCATCTGCCCCCAGATTTTTTGGCTGTTTGAACAGCCCAAGGATTTTTTGGAGGCTCAGAAATATGGCTCCCTTGGGTCCCCAGGTGAGATGGTGAGAGCCACCTGCCGGTCCATGAGAGATGGAAGTGAGGGATGGGTTCCTTGGGTCCGATGGGATGGGATGCCCTGCAGTTGGAATCGCCATCACCAAATGGCAGTACCCTCCAGTAAATTAACATAGACCCTGGTAGATGGGGGTTGGAAGATTAGTTTCCATTAAAAATGGGTGATTTTCAGGGTCTATGTTAATTTACCAGAGGGTAATTCTTGGCATGAACTCTTGGTTTCTACAATTGGATCACGAAAATTGATGAAAATGGTAGTTCATTCCGAGGCTGTTTGTGGATGGGGGAAGGATGGGGAATGGACTGGCTTGGCAATGGTGTTAGTATGTGTATTCTTATTTTCACCATATGTCGGATGACCCCAGTTGACTGAAGCCACCGACGAGTGGTTAATTAGGGGTATCGATGGGAATTCTGGAAATACTAACGAAATCCACAAGAAAAGATCCTAGAAACACAGGAACCACGTGTGGATTCATTACAAACCAATTTACCCTCTGGTTATTTAACATAGCCATGGAAAATCACCATTTTTAATAGGTAAACCATCTATAAATGGGCCATTTCCCATGGCTATGTTAAATAACCAGAGGGTATATCAACATTTTGCTGAAACAAAACCCTTCTTTGGTTGATTGGACCTTCAGCCATCGCAGATGGCTTGAAACCATGGCCGTCCTTTTTTCATCGTGCCTATGTCCTATGGACCCCCAACTGGACATGATTGGCTGAAACCAGATACTGTAAACATCACCACCGCTAGGTGACACTCAAAGGCAATCAGGGCTCTGTGCGGCGCTTGGAGTATGGCTGGGGGGAGGAAGTGACTTGGAATAAAGCTCACCTAGAAATGATAGAGAAAAATCAATGAAGCGAACATCATCAAATTCCCAGCTGGTTGATGTTTTTTTGCAAGATATTTAGCGAGTGACGCGAGCAGCAACGATATGGGAAAATGCAGGAATTTCTTTGGGAAACTTGGGTGTGAGGTGCAGGGCTTCCCTGAAACGATAGGCTGATTTCGAGAGAAAACCACCTGAAACAACGAGATCCCTGGCCGGCCTGAATAGTCTCAAGCAGCCATCAAAGTTATTTTTTCTCTTTTTCTGGTGGTTTACAGTTTTGCGGTACCAAGCAGCTTCAAGCACCCAATGGTTTCCGCCCGGTCATTTTGGTTGTATCAGCCCCCCGAAGAAGCAGTTGTTTGGGCCAGCATTTGCTGGTGGATTCCCTTCCCGGGGAGAATCCCTGTGATTCTTTCAGGGATACTAAAACGATGAGAAGGTGAAAACATCTTGGACTTTCATTCCACCGCCCAAAATCATGATCTACCCTCTGGTAATTTAACATAGCTATGGAAAATCACCATTTTTAATGGGAAATCCACTATAAATGGTCATTTTCGATAGCTACGTTAAATTACCAGAGGGTAACCTTGGGGATGTTGGGGACCAACTCTCCAACAAAAGAGCTCTGCAGACCCACCTGACGGATGGTGGACTGCTTTGGAGGGTTCAGAAGGACCTGGGAACGGTCACCGGGTTGGATCCGCGCTTCGCGGTGTACCCAGTGTACCCTCAAAAGTTGTTAGAAAAATGTTAGAAGTTGATGGCATTGTAACATTTTGGGGTACCAAAAAGTAGGGCCAATGCCTATTTGGGCCAGCCACAGGTTGTGCCGAACAGGGCTTGGTGTTTCCAGCCATTCCCAGTTGGGATCTTTGATAATGGGTAGATATGGGTAGATTATTTGCCAAACCGACCCCGCTGTGTCCAACAAACACAATATTGGCGACGTCACTACGACCTCACTTGTTTTGACTAGTAAGGTCGATAACCTAGTTATTCTAAAGATTCCAATGACCTATAAACACACACACACACACACATGTTACACATGTCACACAGAGAGAGAGAGATATATATATTTTCCACAAGGCACATAGATGCTTATCGCTGCGGCCTAGGCAAATGAATTCAAATGGGGGAAAGCTACGTCATGTCCCTGAGGTCCCCACATATATATATATAATTATATATATATATATAATTATATATATATAATTATATATATATATTATATAACTATATATATAAATAATAATAATAATATATATATATATATCTATCCCTGATCCATATTGAATCCTATATGAATCCTGTCCATCCGGAGCTTCGAGGAGACCGTCCTGACAGAGGCCTTCGAGGAGACCGACGCCAAGGTGGGCCCCTGGGGCCCTGGGGTGGCCCCTAAAAACCATGGTTTTTCCCTTCGATCCAATGAGGATGTCATGGGACCTGGGAAAAACCAGTCAAAAACCATGGTCAAATGATGATAAATGATGATAAAATGATAAAATGATGATAAATGGGCGGAAATTTTTGGCTATCTTTTTTTGATTGATGATCAATTCCCTTCAATCCAAAGAATGGGAATCTTGGGCGAATCTTGGGCGACTCTTGGGTCACCAATCATGTCAGCTTTCTTCCCATAGCCACAATTTGGCTCTTAGGGGGATCAGAGGATGACTGAAAGGATTTTCTTCAGGATTTCCCATGATCTCCCTATGGTCGCACCTTTTGGGACGCCTAGGCTGACCGGAAGTTGAGGCCCGGGGAACTGATTGAGGTGCGGGAATGGATGAGAAAGGATGAGCCCGGAGCCCTGGAGCAGCCCGGTATTAAAAATTGATGGGAAGATGACCATAGATGGCCAAGGAACCTTCCAAAAAAATCCGAAACAAGCACAGGGGCATTTTAAAGTGTCGGGGGTTGGAGGAGTAAACAGGACATGTTTCGGACCGATGGTATCCAGTTGTCGTTTCAATCAACATGGAGTGCAATCGACACCTGAGCCCTCAATCACTTGATCGAATGGTGGGATGAGCCACTTTGTCAGTGGCACATCTTTGCGGGCAAATCCATGGCAAATCCATGGCACGTCCCTCTTCAATGAGCTGGATGTGGCAAACCAATGGGTTTTTGATCATTTGTGATATGGTGATGATTCGTAATCAGTGCAAACATGTAGTTAGCCTCAGCCCCACCCAGCCCCACCATCAAATGGCAACTAAGCACTGTAGGCTACCAACCTACACCTCCAAGATAGCATCAGTTTGCCCCAACCCAACCCTCTGAGGCCAGCTAAGCACTGTAGGCTACCAACCTACACCTCCAAGATAGCATCAGTTTGCCCCAACCCAACCCTCTGAGGCCAACTAAGCACTGTAGGCTACCAACCTACACCTCCAAGATAGCATCAGTTTGCCCCAACCCAACCCTCTGAGGCCAGCTAAGCACTGTAGGCTACCAACCTTCAGCCCCAAGATAGCATCAGTTAGCCCCAGCCCCACCCTCTGAGGCCAACTAAGCGCTGTAGGCTACCAACCTACACCTCCAAGATAGCATCAGTTTGCCCCAACCCAACCCTCTGAGGCCAACTAAGCACTGTAGGCTACCAAACAACACCTCCAAGATTGCATCAGTTTGCACCAACCCAACCCTCTGAGGCCAACTAAGCACTGTAGGCTACCAACCTTCAGCCCCAAGATAGCATCAGTTAGCCTCAGCCCCACCCAGCCCCACCATCAAATGGCAACTAAGCACTGTAGGCTACCAATCTACACCTCCAAGATAGCATCAGTTTGACCCAGCCTATCCCTCTGAGGCCAACTAAGCACTGTAGGCTACCAACCTACACCTCCAAGATAGCATCAGTTTGCCCCAACCCAACCCTCTGAGGCCAGCTAAGCACTGTAGGCTACCAACCTACACCTCCTAGATAGCATCAGTTTGCCCCAACCCAACCCTCTGAGGCCAACTAAGCACTGTAGGCTACCAAACAACACCTCCAAGATTGCATCAGTTTGCACCAACCCAACCCTCTGAGGCCAACTAAGCACTGTAGGCTACCAACCTTCAGCCCCAAGATAGCATCAGTTAGCCTCAGCCCCACCCAGCCCCACCATCAAATGGCAACTAAGCACTGTAGGCTACCAACCCACACCTCCAAGATAGCATCAGTTTGATCCAGCCTAACCCTCTGAGGCCAACTAAGCACTGTAGGCTACCAACCTACACCTCCAAGATAGCATCAGTTTGACCCAGCCTAACCCTCTGAGGCCAGCTAAGCACTGTAGGCTACCAACCTTCAGCCCCAAGATAGCATCAGTTAGCCTCAGCCCCACCCAGCCCCACCATCAAATGGCAACTAAGCACTGTAGGCTACCAACCTACACCTCCAAGATAGCATCAGTTTGACCCAGCCTATCCCTCTGAGGCCAGCTAAGCACTGTAGGCTACCAACCTACACCTCCAAGATAGCATCAGTTAGTCCCAACCCAACCCTCTGAGGCCAGCTAAGCACTGTAGGCTACCAACCTACACCTCCAAGATAGCATCAGTTTGCCCCAACCCAACCCTCTGAGGCCAGGCTACCAACCTACACCTCCTAGATAGCATCAGTTTGCCCCAACCCAACCCTCTGAGGCCAGCTAAGCACTGTAGGCTACCAAACTACACCTCCAAGATAGCATCAGTTTGCCCCAACCCAACCCTCTGAGGCCAGCTAAGCATTGTAGGCTACCAACCTACACCTCCAAGATAGCATCAGTTTGCCCCAACCCAACCCTCTGAGGCCAGCTAAGCACTGTAGGCTACCAACCTACACCTCCCAGATAGCATCAGTTTGCCCCAACCCAACCCTCTGAGGCCAGCTAAGCACTGTAGGCTACCAACCTACCCTCCAAGATAGCATCAGTTTGCCCCAACCCAACTCTCTGAGGCCAGCTAAGCACTGTAGGCTACCAACCTACACCTCCAAGATAGCATCAGTTTGCCCTCTGAGGCCAGCTAAGCACTGTAGGCTACCAACCTACACCTCCAAGATAGCATCAGTTTGCCCCAACCCAACCCTCTGAGGCCAGCTAAGCACTGTAGGCTACCAACCTACACCTCCTAGATAGCATCAGTTTGCCCCAACCCAACCCTCTGAGGCCAGCTAAGCACTGTAGGCTACCAACCTACACCTCCAAGATAGCATCAGTTTGCCCCAACCCAACCCTCTGTGGCCAAATCCAAATGGGGCCAAATGGTGAAACACCGAGGAACTGGGGGATAACTGGGGCATTTCATAGGCACGGCCATCCCACGGCCATCCACCATGTCACCATGGTCTTCCCAGGTCCGGTGTGATGCGAATGAAGTGCCGGGCAAAGATGGATGGCAAGGTTGGCTGGGTCACCGTGGTCGGAAACACCGGCATCGTCCCTTGGCCATGGCCGGCCGGTGGCCGGTGATGGTGGGCAGATGGAGTTTCCGGAGGTCTTAGCCTAGGATTTTACACAGGTTGAAAGAGATGGGTAAACCGGGTAAATCACACATCATACACTAATAATGCACTATATTAGTTCCTCTGGTAGCAGTTTCCTCATTTCTGTTTTTTTTTGAAGAATTCTACAAGATAGATGCAGCCATCCTGGATATCAGCCCCGTGTGGCTCTCTTGTTGATTGGCTACAATGATGGCAAGTTACTAGCTGGTTTACGGGAGAGAATCGTGAATCACAACAGGATGGGATGGGATCTTTGGGTCACTATGGGTCACTGGGCAAACCTGAACTGAGGTGTACCTTGCTGTCCACTGAGACAAGGTAATCGTTATTCTATGGCGCCCGGGCTCCAATTCCAAGTGCATCCCTGTGAAAACTGGGATTCCGGGATATGCATGGTACCAACTTCGTTAGGGATGGGGCGGAGTTATTTTCCATCATGGAAACCTGTTGATCTACATGCATTCATAATCATTCATAATCATTCATAATCATTCATAATCATTCATAATCATTCATAATCATTCATAATCATTCATAATCATTCATAATCATCATTTGCGGGTGGAATCGGATGGGGTTCCGTTCTCCAACAAGCATTTTGGGGAGATCACCACTTGGTCCATTAGGACAAGACTTGGCAAAAACCGTGCCACCGCGAAGAAACCTGGCAACCGAAAATCATCGATTTCCCAGGGGTTCCCAGGGGTTCCACTGTCCATGTTGAAGCAGGGGCCGTTTCCAGGTCAGTTGCCCCTGAAACATCAGCCCGCCTCAGGTTCGCTGCGGATTTACCGTCTGAGTGGCTCGCGGCTCCCCCCTGTGGATTCTCTGGTCCCTCCCCCGAAAAAAATCGCAGTGAAGGGATTGGTTGTGAAAATCGTGGTGACATGTTGAGACCTGGCAATCAAACGTGACGTGGATGCGACGTGGCAATGAAAAATCCATCATTTATAGATGATTTTCCCATGTTTTCCCAGTAAAACCTCCATCCATTTATGGGGGTATTTCCCATTGCACCGTTTGATTATAGGAGGGTATCCAAAATGACGCCCCCAAAGTTCTCAGAAATTAGTTGGCTCTTTAGCTGCCCCAGGTCGAGCCATGGCCGCCATGCTGTTGAAACCTGTGAGGTTACTACCATTTTTCCACATGGTCAGCTTCCGGTTGCTTATTTATTGAATCCTGGAGCTTGTTCAACTTGTTGGAGGGGTTGTCACATTTAAAATCCACCTAAGAATTTATTGCATCTTGTCAGCCAGTGTGTCCTTCGGGGGTCAGATCCCAGCGGGGCGATCAAGCGAAGTGAATCCGTAAAAGGCGCTTCGATGCTTGCTATCTTCTTGTGGGTCCTGGCGAGACCTGCTATCTCAGCGTGAAGTCAAGGGGGGCGAACACATTTGTAAAACTATGTAAAACTTAAAGCTAGGAAAACACCTGAAATTAACTATTTTACATAAATATTGGATAAGTTTTGTAAAGCTAGGAAAACACCTGAAATATCCTGAAATTAGAAAGCCATGCGCTTGGGTATTTTGAAACCTGACCTGACATGACCTGAGTTAAGTCAGCATTTTGTTGGAGCAATATTTGATACTGGTCTACGTTAGGGGAGCATGGTGCCACGGTGGCACCTTCCCCATGCATTCGCGGTGCCCTATTGGTGCCAGGCATCGTATGCTAAAGTTGTCATCAAATCTGCCAATGGCTCCTTGCTCTGCCTGTTCCAGACCCAGTTACGAATGCCTCCAACCATCTCTATCCATCTCTCACCAAAAGCGCCAAGGCGCCAAGAATCAGTAATTAGAGGGTGTACAGGATGGTTCATGTGGACTATTGCGGTGATTCTGGTGGTTCTATCACTTAATAGTGGTTGATGGGTGCAAATACGGCGTATAATTATGCTATGTTTTGCCATTTACGTTGCTAGTACACTGTCACCAATCCTCCCCATGAAGTGGTCCGATGGATCCTACCCCTCAACAATCAGGGTTGAGCCAATAATGGGTAAATGATGGCCACCAGTTGGTCGCAGGGGGGACATCCCTGATTTTTAGTTCCTTACCCAAGAAAATCTCAAGCAGGGGAGAAAGAGATTGATGAGGACTGCCCCAATGCACCCCTGAGGTGTTTCTTTCTTAACCCACCGTCATCAACTCAGGGTCATGGCCGTTATGACTGGATGTCATGGGGAATTCTGAGGATAGGGGGATGTTTGAGCCACCCTCTTCTAATCCCACCCTTTGTGCTATGGAAAATGGATGACATTGCCACTTCTGTGGATGATGTACCTATAAGACATGGCAGTTTTCCATAGCTATGTTAAGATTCCCAGAGGTAGAGTGTTGTTTGTGGTAAGGGCCCTTAGGTTGTCACAAGCATGGTGGATCCTGTTGGCTGGGATGAATATGCCTGCAGGTATAATCCCTGCACATTAAGACGGCTTCCCCTAATGCTACCGTAAATACTGCTTTAGAGGAAACATGGTTTAGTATTTAGGGATTATTTTCACCATTAGAGGATCCATGCTTCCCCTAATAGTGTGGATCTGTTCTGTTGCTGTTCCTTTGCAACTCCATTGGCGGGGTGATTGAGGGAATATTCTGAGGGATGGGATTGATTATGGAGTGAGCCCTGAGCTGGTGATGAAGTGATGGAGCTTTTCCGGTGGAGTTAGCCTTGAGGTTTTCAAGACTTGGTTTGTTGACAACATGAGACCAGTGACTTACTACAAGTGGGATACTGTGAGGTATGCATGATATGTATATATATATATAACCTACTATGACGCTGCCAAAAGAATACAACATACGTCCCTTGATATTTGACGCTTTGGAAAACATTTGCGGAAGACCTAATAATAGTAATGATTTGTAGCAATGCCTTGAAGACCCCATGTGCCACCCTGGGCATAGCAGAAAAGGTTGTCTTCCGCTTCCTGCTGAGTTGCGCAGCCCAGATTCGGCGGGCGGTTTTCGATGATCCTTTGGCCTTCCAACGCAGCAAATCTGATCGTGGCAGGGCTCAGTTTCTGATAGCCCTTAAATCTTTGGAAAAAGAATGCATCCAGGGCATTCAATCTGTTGTTTGTTTTCTCCGGATGGGGCTTTTAGTTTCTCTGGATATCTCTGGATGTAGATCTGAAGCGTAAGCTTCGGAGGTAGTTGCAGCTTGAATGCCCTAGACCCGAGAAGACATCATGGATACGGATACAGGATCTTGATATTGATATTGTTCGCACCCATCCAATCTGTTCGTTCCTTGCAGCCGGCGGAATACACCAATTCCATCCAGCTTATGTGGGTGGGTCATGTCGTCACCCCAAAATGGGATGGTTTATCACTATCAGAATGACGGAAACTTGCTTCAATTTTCACGTGTCTAAAACCGTTCTTCTTGGCAAAATGTTGTTCTACAATGTTCCAAAAGGTATTGTGGAACTTGATAATAGGTAAGTAGGCTGTATCCTTTCTACATTTTCCTTAGTGCAGTACAGACTCAGGATTGAATAATCGCTTAAAGAGGTTGGTTCAAGCACCGTAAGAGAAAGTCCCTCAAAGGTGCACCCTCAAAAAATACGTGTTCATCATGTTTTACATGCCCTTTCATTTATATGCACATATATGCACATATATGCACATGATGTCACCTGTAAATGAATTAATCTAAAGAACAAAGAGAGAGAGAGAGAGATATAGAGATACGTATATACATATTGGCATATATATATATATATATCACCCGCACACACACACATATATATGTATATATATATATACACATTTACATACAATTATATGAACATTAACATGCTGTACATTGCCTTGGAATATTAATATCCTGCCTACGCTTTTTTTGTTGTTTTGCTACTTTTGTCCTGGTTTTGAACGGCACCCGAACTCAGTTTGCCAACCGAGGGATGGTGGTTCATCCAGCCGCAGGTCATGGTTTTTCAGCTGGGGGCTGTGATGCCTACTACTATAACAGTTATAACATCTATAACCCATATAGGAGAACAAGAGACAATCAGATCATGGCTATTATGTCTAGTCCATCCCCTGATGGGGATATTGTTCAATTGTGTACATGCATAAAGTGAGTATATGCTTTCACTTGTAGGTCAGAGGAACGTATTCAAGAAGTCTGGCACCCATGAAAAGATGGTGTGCCTCCTTGAGCATCACGTATATTCTATGTTGATGTATGAACACATACATGAAACAATGCTTAGATTGACAAATGTAATATGTGAATGCGCAAAATTGATAAAGATATAATCATATGATAATATATGCAGATAAATGCATACATAGATAAACACGTATTACACGCACACACACACATATATATGTAAATGTATATGTGTATGTATATGTGTATGTGTATGTGTATGTGTATGTGTAGGTGTATGCATATGTATATATGTATATATATATGCATAAAAATGTACATACACATTTGACACATGGAGCAGTTTTGATACCACATGATCACTCATTAATGGCACCAGGGCAGGGAGGGCATGACAGTAATCAGTGCTGCAAGTTTTTACATGCGCGGTGTGCGTAACGAGATGTTGGTGTTTTTTTGTCCTTCCCCAAGCACGCCCAAAAGACGATTGCAGTACTTAATTAAGCTTAGCTTCAAACAAAAAAGTATATATACTGTACATAATTAATTATATATATATGCATATGTTTTAATGCCTTGTGCTCACTCTCCCAACCTAGGAGGTTGGTTTAAACAAGCTCTACACATGGGGGTCCCTCCCCTGCCATGAAGGAATCCCGCGAATAAATCGGCCAAGATGTCAGGTGGGCTGATTTTGTGCCAGTTCTTTTTTGGTTGGGTTGGGTTTCCAAGAGCTTCGATTTGGGGGTTTCCTAAAATAGGGGTACCCATCCAAGCAATTGATGACCATGACTTAGTATTGACACCCATAGTGACTTGGGTATCCCCATTTTAGGAACCTCCATTTGTTATAATGCTTGGCAATTCTCCAAATAGTCACGCATTTTTTTTCAAAAGGAGCTTAAACGATCTGAAAATTTATGACTGTTCTTTCTTGCAAGTGCCCCTAGAAAACCCCCAAGGTATGAATTATATACTGTATCAACTTCCACCGCCCAAATCGGGCGGGTACCATCTTTTCAGACCCATTTCCGGCCGGCAGGAACCGGCTCACAGGTGGCAGGGCATATTTCCCCAGACTGATCACCAGAAAAGGGCTGTTTCATAAAGCAGTACGATTCGACAACCGCAGGTTGAACCTATACTTTTGGGGGTATCCTATGATTGATCAACCAGGGTTTATT